AAAAATTTTGTTCTGAAGAATTCACATTAAAATCTATTCAAAAAAGTAGGATAAATATTTCCAAATCAAGGCTTTCGTTTTTTTAAAAAAATTCATAAGAACACCCTAACAATAGATCGGAAATCGGAAAAAATTCGTGGAAAAAAATTAAAAAAAAAAAGGTATAAAAAGTCATCTGTAAAAATAAAGCTTTATTTCAGGGCTCCGATTCGTACTTTATTTAAAAGTACAGTACTTTAAAATCGACCTCCGTACTTACGAAATTGAATTTGTACTTTATTGAAAGTATGTACTTTAAAATCAACATTTTGAAAAAATGGAAGAAATCTGGCTTAAGGACCTCCAAAATTCTCAAAATTTTCGCTTGCGGCGCAAAAAATATATTGGTTGGCCTTTGTTGTACTTTAAATTTGGAAATTTTGCCCCTATGTACTCTAAAATCAAGATTTTTGTATTCTTGAATAGCAATTTGTCGATCGGAGCCCTGCTTTATTTACCATTAAAAACGCAATTTTAAATAATTTTTTAAATAAGCTGACAACAATAAAGGGAGGACCAAAAGTAAAGCAATTTTGATAAAAGAAAAATATTTTCTGCAAAATTAAAGACATTATAATTTAATTTTACTTAAACCTTTTGCAGTAAAATATTTTTAAACTCAAAAAAAAAATTTTTTTTCTAGTTTTGTTATCTACAATTTTTGGAATTTTTCTTACTAAAAAATTTTCTTAAAAATTAAATATTTTTTCAAATAGTCTCAAAAAATCGTTCTACATATATTGTGTCCTTATCATTTTTTAAAATTCCTTTTCTTTTTCAAATTTTCTTTACAAATTTTTGTTTTATTAAAAGAAAGGACCTTTCACACTTTTTAACAAAAAAATCCCTTTTATTTTAATCTTTTTTTGTTTGTCTTTTAAAATTTTTTTAAAATTCGAAAAAATTGTTAAAAATTATTTAAAAAAAGGTTAGATAAAAAAAACCACAAAAAACGGATCAAAATCAACTAAAAACCCTTCCCTTCCCCCTCATATCAATTACACCAAAGACTGAGTCAAAAAAAGTAATTTAAAAATTAAAAAAATTTAGGGTAGTTCAAGACAAGGTATTATCAACCGGTAACAAAAATGGGTTGGGTTGAAAAAAGTCAGTTTTTTGGGTTTTCGGGTAATCCTATCCATCTCTAAACGGTAAGCCTGCCTTTCAGTTAATCTTTAGTAAAAACAACAAAAATTCCGATTTAAAAAATAAAATTTTATCCGCAAAAAAATTTGCGGACATTTTTTTTGTCCGCAAATTTTTTGCGGACAAAATTTTATTTTATAAATTTTTAAAATTTTTAATAGTCCCTTTTTATTTTTTTACCCCATAAAACCCTCAAAAATTAAAAAAACCCACATTATGTCTCACTCCTTGTTTGTTGTTAACAACCAAATCCCTCATTGGGATTGACGACAAAAACATCTTTGGGGGCATTTTAGGCCTTTTATTATTATTATTTTCTTCCATTGTTGTTTCCAAGTCAATATTAAATTCAAAATTTTCTTCTTTTTCTTTTTCTTCTTCAATAGTAAATGGTTCTAATAAATCTTCATTTTGCTGCAAACTAGCTACTTGTGATAAAGACAATGTTATTGTACTTGTTGGGGAGGATGGGGAGGAAGAAGAAGAAAATGAGTGTGATGGGTGACTTGTTGTAGTAGTTGACTGGGAGTGCGCGGATATTTTTTGTTTTTGTTTTTGCTTTGTTTCTTTTGTTTTGGAGGGAAATGGAACAAGCTAGAAAAAAGAAAGAATTATTAAAAATTTTTAAATTGTCCGCAAATTTAAAATTTTTGTCCGCAAATTTTTTGCGGACAAAAATTTTTTAAATTTAATTAAAAAATCCTCTTTATAAGATACACCCATTATTAGATACTCTCTATTTAATATACCCCCTCCAAAGCGATACCCTCTATTTAAGATACACCTCCCTACAATATACACTCAATACTAGGTATACCTCAATTTAAGAAACATCTTTTCTTGACAACTGGATACTCTATTTAAGACACAATTCATTATAAGAGACTATTTTTCAGTATAAGAGATAAGAGACGATTTTTCAGACGATTTTTCCTAAGGTGTAGCTTATATGGAAGTCCGACTTTATTTAAGAGTTTCTATTTATTATTTATTCCCAAAAAACTAATTTAAAAATTCCTCCCATTTTTATCAATTTTTGCAACAATTTAAAGAAGCAAAATTAATTAGAAAAAATTAAAAAAAAACGCCTATTTAGAGCAAAACACATAAAATAAAAAAAATTTTCTCTTATCATTTAAATGCGCAAAGATTAAAAGGGAAGGAGGGGTGAATTTAATGTATTAAATTACAAAGATTATTGGCCAAGAAAAAAGTGGGTATCCCCAAAATTATTTTTGAAGAGTTTAAAAAAGGAAGAGAGGGAACTTTATGAATCGGATCTCAATATAAGAGACCCCTCTGGAACTGAAACAAATCGTATCTTATAATGAAGGTATCTTAAATAGAGGGGTATCGCTTAGGCTGCCTCCCCTCCCACTCATACAGTCCCCTCACCCACCCAATGGCCAAAGTCTCTTAAATAGATTGTCTATTAAATAGAGGTTCGGACCTTACTATAAGAGACCCCCCTTGGAACTGAAAAAATCTTATCTTATAATGAGGGTATCTTAAATAGAGGGGTATCGCTTAGGCAGCTCCCCGTCCCGCTCATAAGGCCACCCCCTCCCCCACCCAATGGCCAATGTCTCTTAAATAGAATGTCTATTAAATAGAGGGGTACCTAATATTGGGTGTACCTTATATAGAGGTCGTATTATTTGCAACATAAAAATGCAAAAATATTTTTAAAAAAGTTGGGTGCAAATTTTAAACCCAAATGTTAATTTTTAAAAATATTTTTTGATCTAAATAATTTAATAAATATTGCCGTCAAAACGTCTGTTAAAAAGAATTCGTCTCTCCACACAAATTATTAAATTAATAAATCAAAAAGGAAAATTTGTTAAAAGATAGGTCAGGTTAAAAAGAGGAAGAAAATAGATCATGCAAGTAGCACATGAACCAGACTGACAATAAATATAAAATATAATTTTTGTCCGCAAAAAATTTGCGGACGAAAAATTTTTTGCGGACAATCCGCAAAAATTTTTAATTTAAATTTATTTTCTTTAATTTTCTGCAAAAAAATGGACTTACTTAAATTAAGACATGGTGGTTAGTTAAAGTTTAACAATAAACAAATTTTATATAATTTCTACTTTTTCACAGCGTCATTGTTCGCTAAATATTCAACAAAACTTTTTAAATTCAGTTTAATTTAAAGAAAATTTTCAGAAAAAAATATTTTTTGAGTTCTCAAGTTTATTGTAAAGTTTCTAGACAGTTTTCTGAAAGTTTATTCCCTCAATTTATTTTCTGAAAAAAAATTTTTTTGCGGACGTCCGCAAAAATTTTTTGTCCGCAAATTTTTTGCGGACAAATTTTTTTGCCGCAATTTTTGTCCGCAAATTTTTTTGTAAATATTTTATTTCTTTTTATTTTCTCCGATGACCCGAATATCACAAAGTAATTAATATGATGAAAGCGTGAAAATATTTTTGAGGACAACAATGAAAATGAAAAAAGTCATACGGAAATTAAATGAATGACCAAACTCGAGAGAGGGGTTAAATAGTTAGGGTTTGCACCATTTAATTAAATAAAATGTTCTGCTATTTTTCATTGAAATTTAATTAGTTTCATGGAAATTAATTTGAAAAAATATATTTTTGGATTTTTAAAGAGACAAGTTTAAATGATCCTTTGGTGGGTCTTAAGACCTAAAAATAAGTCTGATGTTGTCTTGGGGTGATTTGGAGATGTGATAGTAGGGAGGTTAAGGAGGGATGATAGGCATGCTTTTGTTAATTCAAGACAAAATATTAGTATCGGACATCATTATAAGACACCCTGGACAGAAAAGTGCATCTATATATTTGCGGACAGTCCGCAATAATTTGCGGACAATCCGCAAATTACTTGCGGACTGTCCGCAAATATAATGGAGGGTATCTGTAATGAAGGGAGGGGTATTAGGCATAACTAACAAGTGGCCAATCAAATTAAGAAAGAACAAAAAAATATAAAAAAGAAATCTACCTGAATAAATTTTTGAAATTTCTGTCCAATTTTAAAGGAAGATTTGTTGTTTGTCCCTTGTTTAACATCAACATAACAGCGTTCATTATCATCATAAAAATCGTCTTCCATTCTTCAATATAAACTTGTATTTTATTGAATTACTAGAATAAAGTCTGAAAAAAAATTTTTTGAAATCAAGAAAAAAATTTTCTAGCAAAAGGATTAAAAAATAGGGTACAACCCAAATAGGCGCGCGGCCATAACGGCGCAAAGCCATAACCTGCTTCAAGATTTCCGAATCTTAACAAATTTAGCATTAAGCAATTCCTCTCACTGAGCTAAAGAGATTGGTACCGAAATTGATAAAGGCCAGAAATCTTCCAGCAGGTTATGGCTTTGCGCCGTTATGGCCGCGCGCCTAATTGGGTTGTCCCTAATAAATAATTAAAAAATTTTTTGGCGTAATGTTTTTATTTAATTACAGTAATTTTTCGACATTTTTTGATTTAAATTTTAGGTTGTTTTGGGTTATTACTTTTTAATGAGTGATCAGACTTGCTCTAATCTATTAGAAAAAAGATACAGCTTATCGAGGGCTTTCGAATGATATAAAATTCAATTGTATTGGATCAAGCAACAAAAAGTTATAGTCGATCAAAGCGCGCTGACACTCCGTTTGCAGTTGTATAACGGAAAAGTACCCAAAAAATTTCTAAATAAAAATTAGAAAAATGAATATATGTAGGTATGTAGACAATTTAACAAGTCTAACAAAGGGTTTAAAAAATTTTTTAATTAGAGGAGAGCTTTAAAAAAAATTTTTTTTGATTAATTAATTTTGGGTCAATTTTTCTCATGGTAAGGGATAAGTAAAAAATGAAGGATATATTACTCTAGCGCGGAGGCGAATGCCATAAAATTATACTGAAAGCTTTGGCCACGAACAAGAAAGAAAAGAAAACGCTTAGAAAAAGCTTTTATCGATTGCCAGTGTAGCTGGTAGGTAGCTGGTAGTAGTGGAAGTAGCTGGAAGCCTTTAGGGGGTAATAAAAATAGAAAGAAGGGCTTTTAAGTCAACTGATCTTCCAAATAATAATTAAAATGACACTTTATTTTTGACAAAATTTTTAAAAATAAAAAATTAAAAAGATTGCATCGAATTAAAAAAATTTTTTTAAGAGTGACATTTGATCCCATCATCAAATTTATTTTTCATTTCCACAAAAATTCACGCATTCTTGAAAATTAGGGAAGTTATTGTAATTCCCCTTAGCACCATAATAAGAAAAACGCCAACAAGAATTAACTTGAGAACTCCAGGCGAATCTGGGCTTGTCTGGAACCCCTTCAGCAAAAGTGCCGGAATCGTCGGGGAGCGAACACAAAAATTCTGAAGAGAAATTATTTTTGAAAATTTTGTCAAGAAACTTTTTGTAGGGCAGCAAACACCTCGTTGACGAGAGCATTCATGCCCTTCCGGACATCCACCTCCACCTTCTTTTGGGCATTCAATGTAGTTGCCGTCAGGGATGAGGTAAGAAGCGTTGCAACGTTTAGCTTTAAAAGGAAGAAATTTTCTTTTAAAAAGTGGGGGAGATGAAAAGGAGAGGATCTAAAGGAAGGGATACTTCCGATTAAAAATGCTTGAGGATCGACTTCAAAAGGATATAAAGGCCAATGGGTTTTGACAAGCAAAGGGAGCCAAACTTCTCTAGGCTAAAAAACTCTCAAAGGAAAGGACGCTTTTAATTGTCACAGCTAAGGGGAAATCCTGGCTTTAAGGATTGAGTTCAAAATCTCAGAGCCAATCTGTGTGACAGTTAAGTAAAAGATAGTCATTTATTTATTACAATAACAAGAAACAAAGGCATAATATATAGGACAATAATAATGCGCAAACACAACATAGGGGGAAAAGTATACAAAAATATGCGCAAAGGGAACACAAGTTGGAAGCAAAAAAGGCATTAGGTGTGTATTTATATATCACAAAAGAAGCCATTGTTTGCTGGTTACATGAGTTGTGCTAATTGGATTGTTGATGGCTGGCTGCTCTCCGAAGCATCGAAACCGTCCTTTCTTTTTTATTCCTCTCTCCCGTTGCCGCTGCACCATCACATCCCGCTGCGTCCCGTCCACTAGTTGCCGCTTTTCTGGCCCATAGCTTGCTGAAGCTGCTCCACGTAGGGATCGAGGTAGCCTAAAAAGGAATGAAAAGGGGATAGATTTTGAGGGTTTTAGAAAAGAAAAACAAAAATTCGTACCGTATTTGTAGGCGCCAGCAACAGCACCAACAACGGCGAACAGGAAGAGCACGACGACGGCACCCATTGTTGATTTGTTGTTGTGAAGGCTGTTGAAGTCGTTGTAGCACGCTGAGTATGGAAAGGTTGTTGGGGAGGGTTGAAGACTAGTTGCTTTTATAGTATTCTTGAGGGAGAAAAGTCTTTCCGGAATCCTTCCGGAAAAACTATAAAAGCCTCCAGAACCGTCTCTCTACAACCTGCCATACTCTACTACTACTCCATCTTCGTGCTTCTCAACAACAGCTACAAATCAACATGGGCGCCGCCGTCGTAATCTTCCTCCTCGCCATTGTCTGCTCTGTTGCTGCTGCCTACAAATACGGTACGAATTCTTGTTTTTCCTCCTTAACCCTATCAAAATCCACTTCCTTTCATTCCTTTTTCAGGCTACCTCGATCCCTACGTGGAGCAGCTCCAGCAAGCTATGGGCCAGAAGGGCGGCAACTAGTGGACGGGACGCCGCGGGATGTGATGGTGCAGCGGCAACGGAAGAGAAGAAGAAAGGAAAGGATGGTTCCAACTCGGAGAGCAGTCATCAAAGTGATACTATAAAAATGCTCTAATGCCTTGTATTTGTCACCAATTGTAGTTTTTCCTATATTTGTTCACAATTGTAAAATATGTCTATGTAATTGCCCCTATGTTGTGTTTGCGCACTATTATTGTCGTATGTATATAGTATTTGTTTGTTTTGTAAATAAAGGTATTCTAAAGGCGTGAAATTTTGTGTGCTTATTTGTTAGGGAAAAGTGTGATGTCTGGGGGAAAATTCTAAAATTAAGGCCAAGTCTGATATCAGCTACAAAAAACTGAAAAACTCCATAAACTGTCGTTTAACTTAAACCTTGCCTAAGGTTCCCTTTTAAAAACCGAAAATCCCGGGTTTTGGCATTCTGTCCTTTGATAAAGATTTTCTGTCATTTTAAAAGTCAAAAATTTTTTTTCAGATTCTCCCACCTTTCTTTAACTCAGTCCTTGACCTTTTCTTTACCTCACTTTTTAATCTCAATAATTTTCCCCCCAAAATAATTTAACTTACCTAAAACCCACGGATCCCTCTTTTCACTGCTACTACAAGCCTTTCTGCAGGCACTAGCAGATTCGAAACGATTATCGTTTCCTTCACATCCATTGTAAATAAAAGGTTGACAAAGTCCTTTAAACTTTTTTAAACGTTAAAAAATAGGTAAAAAACCGGTCTGTGAATTGTAATAAAATTGTTTTGAATTTTGTTGTGGAGAGGGGGTGCCAGAGCATGTAACACCTTTATCGTGTGGCAAAGAACAGTCTGAATAGAATTTTTATTTGATTAAATAAGCTACAAAGGCTTTATTAGAACTTTAAAAAGTGTTATTATGGAAATAGAAAACTTTTTCTGACGAAAGGTATCGAACCAGGGTCCCCCAAAGAGTACAAGTCAGACGTGTTACCCACTACACCACGGGAACATTTTTTAATAAAGGTAGTTAAAAATGATTTACGTGGATTTTCAACACTTGAAAAAGATTATTGTAAAAATAGAAAATAGCTTCCACCGCCAGGTATCGAACCCGGGTCCCCAAGAAAGTGCAAGTCAACCGTGTTACCCACTACACCACGGGAAGGATTTTTTGAGATATTAGTTAAAAATGATTTACGCGGATTTTCATTTTCATTACGCTCCTTTTGTGATTCTGTAAGTACATTTTGGTCAAGTAATAGAACAAAAAATAAAATTATGATTAATTTTTTATTAAAGCTTTTATAATTTTTATTGAACATTTGAAGGGTTTTTAGAGAAATAAATTGACGTGATTAATTTTATTTAATAAAAATGAATATAAAATTTTGTAGATGAATAGAAAAATGATTGAAGAATAAATAAATAAATTAGAAAAAAATTTTTTGTTAAAAATAAAAAGAAAAGTTGCGCGAGACGAGAAGAAAGGGTAAAGAAAAAAGGTGAAAATGAAGGGAGAAAATAAATATTAAAATAAATAAAATGTGTGAAAAGAAATTTTCAATAGAAAAATAAATTTAATTTAGAGAGGTTAATAAATTAAAGTGAATGTTTTAAAATTTAAAAAGAAGAAAAAAATTTTTTGAAAGTTAAGGGAACGTCTAAGAAATTAACGATAGCTAAGCTTTTGAAGGTTTCTTAGAGACTCCGAAGGAGAAGGGGAGGGGGACTCCCGTGGGAGAAGTGGAAAACTTTTTCGTGGAGCGGAGGTGTCAGAGAATGGATTGTCGGAGATTGGGTCGAGGATGGAATCATTGGACCACGTTCCATCCTCCCAACGTCAGAGCGGGTGTGAAGTCGTGAATCAACCCTAATTTATTAATTTTTTTGTCTTCCATCATCATTTATTCTAATTAAAAATTTGTTTATGTTTTGTATGGAACACCTTTTCCTTTCTAGAAACTACAATTAAAAAAATAAAAATAGGTGAAAATAAAAAAAACTGAGTGATTTTATGACCGCTACAGACTTGAGGTTATATTTAGAGCCATAACTTTTTTACCATTTAATCGATTTAAATAATTATTATATCAATTGAAAGCGCTTGTTTTGAGGATTATTTTATCTAACAGGACTGATTTGATCAGATCATCCTACAAAAAGTTACAGTTGAATAATTAGAGGTAATTAAAATTATTTTTTTCAAAAATCAAAAAATTTCTCAATTTTGGCAAAATGTTAATTAACGACATTTCGGTAGGGGACACATGTGTACCGCCGTTTGTGTACCGCCGTTTGTGTACGGCCGTTTGTGTACCGCCACTTGTGTACCTGGCCATTTGTGTACCGGCCGTTTGTGTACCGCCGGTTGTGTACCCACCCAAAGGGGGACGTTTGTGTACCCGCATTATTTTTTTAGATTTTTTATTGTTTTTTTAATATTTTTGTCTTTCTTTAGGGGTTTTCAACTAATTTTGTTAATTAGTTGACCAGATCACTCACCCAAGTCCATCCGGGCAATGAACTTCCTCAAGGAGGACAAGAATCTTGTGTAAAAATTTAATTTTTATTTTTTAATTTTAAATTTTCTTTTTTAAAGATGGCCTAAACTTTGATCGCCACGTGCTGGACTTCCTCATACGGCTACAACGATGGGAAATTTGAAAAGGTTTGGAATTTTTATTTTGTTTTTCAAGCTTTTATTTTTAAAAATTTTTAGTTGATTTTCGTCAGTTTCTAACTGGCGATTTTCAAGTTCACAGTTTCTGAAAGAACGAAGGTGGTAAATTCTGCCGGAGTCCGGAAATTAGGAAAGTTTTTACGTTAGTAATTTAAATAGTCTCCCCTACCCTCCATAACACAAAAAGTTTTTCCAGCGAAGATTCTGTTGGTCAAAACTTTGTTCAGAATCATCCAATCTACTTGATTTTGGTCTTATTCAACTCATCTCGTCGATCCCTTTCGAATGAGCTATCATTTGTATATTAAAAAATTTTTACCCAATAATGAATTTGACCCCTTTTGGATTTTCAGGGGTCTGTAATTCGTTCCCTGAATTTGGTTTGACCCAATATCAAATCAAAATCTCTCGATTATCCCCCTTAATCACTCTAAATGCAACTGTATCCTCTTTAATCCCGCCTAATCCTAAAAATAATGCGGGTACACAAACGTCCCCCTTTGGGTGGGTACACAACCGGCGGTACACAAACGGCCGTACACAAACGGCGGTACACAAACGGCGGTACACATGTGTCCTGTTCCCCGACATTTTATTTTTTAACAATTTCATTTTGTCAACTAGTCAAAAATAAATAAAAATGTCAACTAAAACGAGTTTTTTTTGTGAATTACGTGTAATTGTTTAATTTTCTTGATTAGCTTTTTCTGTTTTTAGATTAAAATAATTTAAATTATTCCAATTAAATGTCTTCAGTTTTAAGTTCTTTTTTCTCTAGAGATCCCCGCACCTCATTCCCCTATTCGCTTCCTACCGAGACTTTTACTGTTCTTACACAAGAACAAATAAATGTTGGCAAAAGTTTAAAAAAGGTTTTTTTCTTTCGGGTAATATTGAACCGGACAGACCTCCTTTTTTCCTCCCCAATTTTCCCCTATAAGCAAAAATTAGATAGGCAATTTGGATGAATGAAAGGCAAAAGTCTGACCATTCTGCAAAAATATAGGGGAAAATTGGGAGGAAAAAAGGTCTGTCCAGTTCAATATTACCCGCTTTCGTTTTGATTAATTTTCTTCTTTTTTCAATTTCCAGTCAGAACCTCAAGAAAAGGCAACCTGTTTTTGGACTTTAAATGCAAATTCGACTTCACTTAAAATTCAAGCTCAAAAATTGAAAACTCTGAGGCATCCTAATGTGCTAGCTTATTTGGATTCTTTGGAGGTTTTTTTTAATTTTTTTTTGGCAATTTTTTGCTTATTCACCCCTTTATCATTTTCGTTTAAGCCAGAGTTTTCAAAAGTTTTTTTTTAATTTTATGGCATTATTTGGGGTTGAAACGTTTGAAATTTGGTCAGTGATTATCCGTTCAAGCTTCTTAGTTTGTTTTGGTGTTAGCTTATTTTTTAGTTTTCTATGGGTCTTCAGAATTTTTAAAATTGACTTTAAAAATTGCACTAACGGATGTTTTAACATTGTATTCTTAGTTGCAGTAGAGACTATAAACAAAAAAAAATAAATGAAAGTAGAAATAGGCAGAACCTTCCTTATAATACTCTATTCTTTTACAAAATTTTCCTAAAAAAATTTTTTTTCTAAAAAATTTAAGGTTGAAGGCTCATTCTATTTAATTACCGAACCCTGCCGGCCTCTTGCCTATTATTTATCAGAAACTAAATTGACCGCTACACAATTAGAATTGGTTGTATCCTGGGGTTTATATCAAGTTTTGGTTTGTTTTAATTAATTTTTTAGAAATTCTCTCAAATTTTTTAAAGAATTGCCTTAAATTTTTACATAATGAAGCTAAATTGTCTCAAAATAATATGCGAAATGCAATTTTTGTTACTTCCTCTGGTGATTGGAAATTGGCTGCTTTTCAAAGTTCAGGCAGTTTAAGGTTGTTTAAATTAATTTTAAGGCTATTTTTAATTAGATCATTACAGTTATTATCTAATTTGTTGTTAAGTTCTCTTTGACCGAATGGTTAAGGTGTTGGATTTTAGCGGGAGTTAGTTCAGGGTTCGATTCCTTTCAGTCAGTTATGTTTTCTGTTGATTATTTTTTATGTATTTATCCAATAAAAAATATTTTTTGAGACCTAAAATTTTTTTAAAATTTTCAAAATATTTTTTAAAGAATTCTAATTATTTTTTAAAGCTCTCCCCAAGTCGATTTAAACGACCTAGCCTCAGTTGTTCTTCAAATATTTACTAAAAATGATTCTTTGGATATTTCTTCCCCTACTGCTCTTTCAAAAATACCTAAAAGAATACATCCTTTATATAAACGGCTATGTGCAAAATCGCGAGCGGTGATGACTGTTGGAGATATTTTGAATGGTTTTTTTTAATTTTTTTTTTGAATTTTTAAAATTATTTTTTTTAGAATGTAGAGCAAATGGAGGGTTTATGAAAAATAAATTTGTCGATACTTTATTGTTTCTTGATGAATTTCAGGTTTTTAATTAATTTATGTTGATAATTTATGTTCTAAATTTTTGCTCATTTTTTATGATTCGTAGTTGGAACGAAGTTTATTTTTGTTCCCTCTCGCCTCCATTTTTTAAATTTATAAAATGCATTTAATGAATTTTCTAAGGACCTACTCGACTTTCTTCTGGTTTCATTCCATAGAGTAACCTATTAATAACCTATCGCCATCTGTTTTTGGTTTCTTTTTTGGTTACGAAAACATTTTTAGATATTTATTGGCATTTAAATTTTGGGTATTTTTTCCTTATTTTTCTTTACTAAAGAGAGTAGAATGAGACTCCCTTTCTCCAATTTCATTTCCTTTACAATTTAAAATTTTCAAACTTTTCCATTATCCTCCTTTTTAATTTTTATCAATATTTTTACAGCTTCGAGAAGCACCAGAAAAACAATCTTTTTTTGTTCGTTTAAACACAAATTTGGAACTTTTTCCTGAAGATATTGCGAGAAATAAAATTTTGCCTAAACTTATTCATGTTTTTTTAATTTTTATTATTTTCTAAATTTTGTTTATTTTTTAGACTTATGAGTACGGAGATGCTGGTTCACATATTCTTCTTCCAATGTTTAAACTTGGCAAATTACTTGATGAAGATGAGGTTTATTTTTTTTTATTTTATTATTTTTTTCTAAATTCTGCTTTGATTCTTAACATTTTTAGGTTTTAGAAAAAATTAGAATCCCAACCAGTCAGTTTTTTCCTATTGCTCCAATTTTTGACTTTTCTTTTTAAAAAGTGATTTTTGAATAATTATGGGTCTTTAAAAATTCTTCTCAACTTTTGGTTAAGGGCATTAGAAAACTGGTCATTTTTTATACAATAATACCAAATAAAATACAAAATTAATACTCACAATTATCCTGGGTTTTTTGTAAACAAATTAATGGGAGCAGGCCAACTGCAGTCCAACTTACCGCCGAGGCTATAACTTCTTTTAGAATTGTCGAATCCGGGACGCCTTGGTATGGTTCGATACGCCTCGACGACCTCAATCCAACCATACCAAGTTGTCTCAGATTCGACAATTTTGAACAAAGTTATAGCTTCGGCGATAGGTGGGCTTGCGGTAGGTACCCCAAATTAATTTCCCTAAAAAAATTTTTTGTTGTTTTTTTAAGTATCAACAACGAATAGTTCCTTGCCTAGTGAAGCTGTTTAGTTCTTCTGATCGTACTACTCGGTTATTTTTCTAAACCAATTTTTATCTTTATTTCTAATATTTAGAGTCAAATTACTAGAAAAAATCGACGAGTTTTCCAGCCGCTTAAAACCTCAAGTTGTCAATGATAAAATTTACCCGTTTGTTTTTTTCTTTAGTTTAGCATTAAAAAATTACATTTTTTCAAGTAATTTAATTACCGGTTTCCTCGATTCAAATTCAGCTGTTCGTGAAAGCACAGTTAAAGCTATTGTTTCCTTTGCAGATAAATTGAATTATAATAATTTAAATAATGATTTGATGAAATATTTGGCTAAATTACAAGGTTTTTTTTTGAAATTTTTTGAAAAATTTTCAAAAAATTTTCGACTTGGCAAAAATGGTTTTTTTATTTTCTTGGATGAAAAAATCATTATTTTTAAAAAAATTTTAAATAAAAATTTTTTTTAAGGATCAGATCCAGAACCTAGCATTAGAACAAATACAACAATCGTTAGTTTTTTTTATTTAAAATTTATTTTTACTATATTCAAGTGATTGAACCTTATTAGCTATTTTTAATTAATGGTTTGGGGTTTTCTCCAAAATTTCTTATTTTCCCAAAATAAAGTTGTTTTTTCCACTACATACTTTTTTGAAAATCTTTTTCTGTTTCATTAAAAAATTATTGGGTACGGCCCACCTTGTCGCGGGCCACCTTGTCGCGACCACCTTGTCGCAGGCTTTCCTTTGGTTTTCATTTCAAGGCTGGCCTAAACTTCACTCACCACGTGCCGTACTTCATCCCACGGCTACAACGATTGGAAATATGGAAGGTTTAGAATTTCTATTTTGTTTTCTAGGTTTTTTTTTAATTTTTTAGTTGATTTCCAGGAGTGTTTTTTTCCTTTTATTACTTTCTCTTATCCGGTTAAAGTCTACCGGAGTTTTAACAGAGTAAAACCTATCCAAATTACTCCAGAAAACCCCGATCGTGCCCAGAAGGCCTTTTTCCTACCCTCCATATCAGCATAAAAAATTTTCAACCTTTGCGACAAGTTGGGCCTGCGACAAGGTGGCCCGCGACAAGGAGGGCGTGTCCCAAAATTATTCAAATAGCAAAAATAGCCCCGCCCGGCGCCGAACCACGGTTCCGAGGCAAGTTCCCAGTCCTTCGCTTTACCCACTACACCGCGGGCGGACTAATTTTTTAATGAAAAGTCATTTATAAATATTGTGCGGATTTTTATTGGAATAAAATTGCGAATTATGGCCATTAAATATTGAAAAATAACTGAAAAATTGGCAAAATATTGAAATGTAACTTCGTTCAGAGACATAATATCGAAAAACTACTTAATTGCATATTCAGGCTTTTTTCATCGAAATATATATTTGCAGAAACAAAAAAAAGAAATTATTTCAATAAGAATCCGCACACTATTGATAGGCAATAAGGGGCTATTGCTAGATCCTTTTTTCAATGCTTTTTTAATATTTTTTAATTTTTTAGTGTCTCGGCAAAATTGGTTGTTTTATCGATGCCAGCCATCGTCAAAGAATTTTAATTTCTGCTTTTACACGTGCCTTAAAAGACCCATTTCCCCCTGCAAGATTGTCTGGTGTTATTGCTTTAAGTGCAACACAACAATATTTTTCTTTAAATGAAGTAGCTCAAAAAGTTTTGCCAAATTTGAGTCCGTTGGCTGTTGACCCTGAAAAACAGGTTTTTTTGTTTAAAATTTTTTAATTGAAAATTTTTTGGAAATTTTTTTTGAAATTTTCAAAAAATTTTTGGAAATTTTCAAAAAAAATTTTTTTTGAAAATTTTTAAAAAATTTTCGGAAATTTTTCAAAAAAAAATTTTTTTCGAATTTTTAAAAATTTTCGGAAATTTCCAAAAAAAATTTCAAAAAAATTTTTTTCGATTAAAAAAATTTTCTTGAAATTTTTCAAGATGTTTTTTCGAGTTTTAAAAATTTTTTTTCAGGTTCGAGACCAAACATTTAAAGCTCTAAGCGGCTTTCTCGAAAAACTCCAAAAAGCAAGTGATAACCCCGAACTTATTGCTGAAATGGAAGCACAAGTTAAGGCTGGTGGAAAGGTTGGGTTGCTTAGTGGAGATAAGGTTTTTTTTTGAAACTTTTTAGAAATTAAAAAAAATTATTAAAGGTCCCTCATTGGGCTGGTTGGGCAATTAAAGCAATTTCTGGTAAATTTTATAAGTCTACAACAACTCCAACACCTGAAACAACCCCAACTGAACAACAAAATGTTAAAGAAGCTTCTTCTAAAATTGAAAATGAGAAGCTTATATCGAAAGTAAATGTGGTTAATAAAATGGAGGATAAAAAGGAGGTTGGGGATTTATTTTAAAAATTTTTTAATAAGTTATTTTTGAATTGAATCTTTCAAAAAAATCTTTTTTTCAAAATTTTTCAAAAAATTATTTTTAAAGAAAATTTTTTCCAATTAAAAAATTTTTCTAGAAAAACCTATTTTTCTGGGGCCACAGAAATTTTAAAATATTTTTAAGATTTTTTTAGTAAATTATTTTTGGATTAAAAAATGAATTTTTTTGGGTTTTAAATTTAAAAGGATAGGAAAGAGGAAATTGAAAAAAGTTTGAAAATAAAAATACTTAAAAATTGACCGGGAAAATTTTAGAAAATTGCTTTTAAAAAGTATTTTTTTTTTAGTTTTTTTGGCTGTTAACCCCTCTAAAAGCATTATTATTCACAATTAATTTTTCAGGCTACCCAAAATATTAATAAAAATATCTCTGCAATTTCTGATGGTTGGGGAGATGAAGAATTATCAGAAAATGAAGTTGAGGAAGAAGAGGAAAATATAAAAAATATTGGCAAAATTAATAAAAATACTAGAAATATAAGTAATGAGGAGGATGATTGGGGTAATAGTGGTGGTGGAACTTGTGCTATAGATGCGGATAGTTGGGAATCTATTAATGATGAAGAGGTTTTCTTTTGATTTTATTTTTTTATGTATCTACTAGAGGCCGGCAAAATTGTGTTTGCGTGATCCCGCGGGATAAAGCTCGCAAAATCACCCACTGTTGCAAAATCCCGCAAATCGAAAAAAAGTGCGGAATTGGAGGCGGGATCCCGCAAAATGCTGATCTCTAGTATTTACCAAGGTTTGGGAATTTTAAAAAATTTTCTGAAAATTTATTTCAAAATGTCCAATCTTACAAAACGGTCAATTTCCAAAATGCCCAATTTGTAATATGCCCATTTTTTATTTATTTTTTAGGCAACTTTAACGTCAAATATTAAATCTTCGTTGGAAATTAAGTCTGCTATTTCTAATAAAAAACCAAGCCCTCCAGTAACTAAAGGATCAACCACAGCCTCATCAACAGGAGGAAAAGCATTAAAACTTGGAGCAGTTAAAATGACTCATCGCCAAACACAACAACAAAGTTTTAATTTTTAAATTTTTTATGAAAATTTTTAAAAATTTAATGAGATTTTTAAAAATTTCAAAAAAAAAATTTTTTTTGAACCCCTGAAAATTTTTTTAAGAATTCCAAAAAATTTTTTTTTGAAATTTTTTAAAAATTTAGACCTCTTTTAATTTTCAAAAAAGCTGTTTACTTTTTAATTAATAAAAATTATTTTTAAATTTTATTAGAAGATGTCGACCTTTTATTATTTGGAGAAGAAGAAGAAGAATATCATCAACAACAAAAAATACAATACCCCCACCAACAACAACCTAAAAAGCCTTCAATAACAAAATCCTCAATAACTTCAAGTAGTAATAATAGTAATTATGGGGATGAAGAACAAGAATTTAATTTAAATTCGAATTTTGGAGGGGGAGGAGGAGGAGGTAATTTTGCTTCAACAATATTAGCTAGACAAAAATCACCTACAATTCCGACTGAAAAATGGAAGAAAAATGAAGTTGAAAAATCAAAAACAACAAAAATAGACACGACAGATTGGCAAAGTTGGTAAAATTAAAAAAATATTTTTTTTTAAATTTGTTAGTAGAATCGGACCTCACCGTAAGATACCCTTCAAAATTATTTTTCTTTTGTTTAAAATTATTTTTTTTTTATTTTGGTTCGCACAAGTTATGGGGAATGAGGCCAGTCTGTCTAAATGATACCCCCCCCCCAATATTTAAGATACACCTCGTCATAAGAAACGATTTTTTCAGTCCCAAGCAGAGGTGTGTCGGAATTACGATTTCCAACGTTTTTTCTTTCCGATTTTCGGAAAAATTTTGATTTCCGAGTTCCGACTTTTGAGCCAGTTCCGATTTCCAGCTCTTCCGATTTCCGACACCTCTGACTGTTCTGACCCATCTCTGATCCCAATGGAATACACTATAGTGAGGTTTGATTTATATATTTTGTTTAAGTAAAAATTACAAAAAAAAAATTATTTTTGTAAAAAATTATTTTTTCCAAGAATTATTTTTTAAATCAATTTTTTTCCTTATCTTTTAAAGTTTTTTTTTTGTTAAAACAGATTTCTAATATTTTTAAGACAATTTTATTTTTATTACTCTCAAATAATATATATATTCTATATAAAATTAAGAATAAGCATCATATCAACTTTCCCAATTTTTCGCTTCTTTATCTTTTTTTTCTGTACGGGATAAAATATAAATATTTTAATATCTTTTGTAATTTTTCCGGGTAGCTGTAATTATTCATTCAACTTTTCCGGAAATTTTTATTATTTTCCGGAATTCCATTACAATTTTGTTTCCAACCGGAAATATTTATTTCTATTTTTCCGGAGAGTTGTAATTATTTATACAACATTTCCGGAAACGATTCTACTTTTCCGGAAGGTTATAATTATTTTTACTACTTTTCCGGAAAATTTATTACAATTTTGTGTTTTTCCGGAAAATTGTAATTGTTTATATTCCTTCCGGAATTCCCATTATAATTTTATTCCCTTCCGGAAATATTTAATTTTAGTCTACTTTTCCGGAAGGTTATAATTATTCCCACTACTTTTCCTGAAAATTTATTACAATTTTATTTCTTTCCGGAAACATTTATTTTTATTTTCCGGAAAATTATAATTATTTTACTTTTCCGGAAATATTTATTTTTATTTTTCCGGAAGGTTATAATCATTCATACTACTTTTCCGGAAAATTTATTGCAATTTTGTATCCTTCCGGAAATATTTATTTCTGTTTTTCCGGAAGGTTATAATTATTTATACAACGTTCCGGAAATTTTATTATACAATTTTATTCCCTCCCGGAATATTTAATTTTAGTTTACTTTTCCGGAAACTATTCTATTACAACTTTGTAATAAATTACAATTTTATTTCCTTCCGGAAATGTTTATTTGTGTTTTTCCGGAAACAGTTAATAATTATTACAGCATTTTTAAGCCTTCTATAACTGTATATTTTTACTAGAAAATAAAAATATATAAAAAGTGTTTAAAACAATTTACCATAAATTAAATATTATTTTTTGTTTATCTAACAGTGTACTAAAAAATATAAAACAAAAACAATAAAAGAAAATCAATTTAATAAAAAAAATTAAATTTCCCTACTTATGTAAATTTGAGAGGAACAGGTTTTTGTCAATTTTTTTTTAAATTTTTGCACGTAAAGTTGATGAAAAAAAATTATTATATTTTTGAGATTGCACCGGCCAGAAACAAAACAAAATTAGTATAATTGAGTACTCTTTCCAAAAAATTTTTTCAGCAAAAAAATTTTTTTTAGTCGTCCAATTCATCCTCAGTGGGTGGTCTACCTCCCTCACCTCCCGATGCGCGAAAATGTTTTTTTCTGTGAAAAAAAAATAATTTTTTAAATTAAAATTTTTAATTAAAACTCTTTTTGAGCAACGTTGTATTGGTTCCGCTTGTTGCGGTCTTTTTGTGAACAGCCCCAAATTATTAGTGCTAAAAGTAGAAGGCTTGCAATAATAATTATGAGAGGAATTATCCAAGACATTGCTACTGAAAAAATTTTTTTTTTAATTAAAAAATTAATTTTTAAAAATATAAGAGCTAAAAATAGTTAGAAGAAAATGTGAATGAAAAATAAAAATACCAGCCCCCTTTAACTTTATATTAACCAAAAAGTACATATTTTTTAATCAGCCTCCCCCCATTTCATCAATCATTTTGGAAAATATATAAAAATAAAAAGTGAATCTTTCGCTTTGTCTTAATTTGTCAGCTCGAAAAATAGGAAAAAAAAAGTTTGTATTATAGGGAAGAAAATAATAAAAAAAATACAATTTAGGAAAAATAATCCTTCCAAAGGTTTTAATTTACACATTTATATTTTAGTCATATTTTAAATAAATTTAGGAATTAAATCCGGAAAGATTCTATTTATTATATAATTTCCGGAAGGTCTTATATTCTATCGAAGAATATGTATTATTTTTGTTGTGATAGTAATATGTACAATTCCGGAAAGTTTAATTGTATCGAAGAATTAGGGTTGGGGGCCCGATCCGGTCCGAAAGATCGAGTCGGGCCTTGAATTTTGGCCCGAAAAAGACTCGGTCTGGCTAGCCCGATAAAAATGACTCGAACGTCGGTCCGACTCGAAAACCCAAACCCTACGAAGAATACTACAATATTTTTCAGTTTGAATTTTTGAAAAGTTTTCCGAAAGGAATTAAATAATAAATTTATAGGCAGCCGAAATAGCAGATAAACTTAATTTTTAGTAAATTTATTTAAAAATATGACTAAAATGAATTTTAAAAAATTTTTTGTGTTCCTTACATGGAATCCTCACATAATGCTCCAAGGTAACCTGAAACTCTCGTGGGGGTCTGCCAAATTCTTCTGTAAATGAATTTGTAGCTAAACATTTATATGTAGCCTCGTCATCGACGTCTATTGACCTAATATACAAAGCTTTTGCAGTTAATACGTATTTGCGACGACTTGAGATTGTTTTACGCATTTTATCAGGAGGTAATAGAACGCTAGTATCTAGAAGAATAATTAGTGTAAGTTCCGGAAATAAATGGAAATATTCCGGATAGTTAAAATAAATTTTACAATCCTTCCGGCAAGTAGTAGAATAATTTTAAAGTCCTTCCGGAAGGTTAAATTAATTTTACAATTCTTCCGTAAAGCTAAAATTACAATCATTCCGGAAAGTTAAAATTAATTTTACAATCCTTCCGGGAAATTAAAATAAATTTTGTAATCCTTCCGGAAAGTAATAAAATAATTTTACAATCCTTCCGGAAGGTTAGAATAAATTTAAAATCCTTCCGGAAAGTTAGAATAAATTTTACAATCCTTCCGGAAGGTTAGAATAATTTTAATAATAATAATTAATTTAATAATTTTAATAATTTTAATTTTAAATTAAATTAATTTTAATTAATTTTAATTTTAATTTTAATAATTTTAATAATAATTAATTTTAATAATTAATTAATAATTTATAATTAATAATAATTTATAATAATTATAATTAATAATTAATAATTAATAATTAATATTAAATTAATAATTATTATTATTATTATTATTAATTATTATTATTTATTATTAATTATTAATTATAATTATTAATATAATTATAATTAATATAATAATAATAATATAATTAATATAATATAATTAATATAATAATATAATAATAATATAATAAAATAAATAATATAATAATATAATATAATTAATATAATAATATAATATAATAATATAATATAATAATATAATAATATAATAATATAATATAATAATATAATAATATAATATATAATATATAATATAATATATAATATAATATAATATAATATAATATAATATAATATAATATAATATAATATATAATATAATATATAATATATAATATATAATATAATATAATATATAATATAATATAATATAATATAATATAATATAATATAATATAATATAATATAATATAATATAATATAATATAATATAATATAATATAATATAATATAATATAATATAATATAATATAATATAATATAATATAATATAATATAATATAATATAATATAATATAATATAATATAATATAATATATATATAATATAATATATAATATAATATATATAATATAATATATAATATATAATAATATAATAATATATAATATAATAATATAATATAATATAATTAATTAATATAATAATATAATATAATTAATTAATATAATATATATATATTATAATTATATTATAATTATTATTAATTATTATTATTAATTATTATTAATTATTATTAATTATATTTATTATTTATTATTAATTATTTATTATTAATTATTATTTATTATTTATTATTTATTATTATTATTTATTATTATTATTTATTTATTTATTTATTATTATTTATTATTTATTATAATTATTTATTAATAATTATTATTATTTATTATTATTAATTAATAATTAATAATTATAATTAATAATTTATAATTAATAATTTATAATTAATTTTAATTTTAATTAATTTTAAATTAATTTTATTAATTTTAATTTTAATTTTTTAATAATTTTAATAATAATTAATTTTACAATCCTTCCGGAATTTATCAAATATTTCCGTAAAGTAATCTAAGCAATAATTCCACTTTTCCGGAAAGTAATAAAAATTATTTTACAATTACGGAAATTTTTCCACAACATTTATAAACTTACTAAGCGGCCTATTATCTTTAAACCATCGTATCTCAGGCAAAGGATATCCAATAGCTGGACACTCAATAAATACATCACCCCCTAATGGTACTGTTTTGGCTGAGCCGATCCAAGAAAAACTTCAAAAAAAAAATATTTTTTAATTTCCAATTTTTTTCTCTCACAAATTTCCATCTTCTACTTGATCTAATCTAGTAGTTGCATTTAATATTAATACTGGGCGCATATTTACAAATAAATTCCCTACAACTGTAACCCTTTTTTCTTCACCTTCCTCTGTATTTGTTGTTGTGTTTATCTCACAACGATATTTTCCTACTGAAGTTATTGGTGCTGGGGAATCGAATTCTAAGAAGGCACGGGTTCGAGCTCCATTGTACCTACTTAAAAAAAATTTTTTTTTGATTAAGAATATTTTTTTAAATTTATTTTTTGCCATTTTTAAGAATAAAAAAAAAATTAAATTTAATTTTTACCTCGCCTCGTGTATCTCTTCTGGTTTTGGAAGTACTCTTACTTTAAATTATAAAAGGTTATTTTTATTTTTAATTTTATATTTTGAACAGCGGGATATAATATTTAAAAAGAAAAAATTAAATTTACCAAATCTTGCTTCTTTAATTCGGAGAACATCTTTGCCGTTAGATGTCGCCTGACACCTTTAATAAAAAAATAAAATTATTATAAGCTTTTTTGTATTCCCACAAACTTTCCGGAAAGTCAATTGTATATTTTTAAAATTATTCCGGAAATATTAAAAATATAATTAAAATTTCCGGAAAGGCTTTCCGGAAAATTCTCCGGTAAGTTATATAGGAAAATAAATAGAAAAAATAATTCCGGAAGTAGTCAGAAATTATAATGCTTCCGGAAATTATTTATTAAAATTCCGGAAAGTTATTCAAATAATTATACAATTTTCCGGAAATAGTTTATAAATTTTGTATAATTCCTCCGTTTGAATTATTTTTATATAACCTTCCGGAAAAATTTCCGGAAGTTAAATAAAATTCCGGAAAGGTTGTATGAAAATTATAATTCTTCCGGAAAGTGTAAAATTTAAAATTTACCGGAAATTATAATACTTCCGGAAATTATTTCCGGAAAGTTATATAACTTCCGGAAAGGTTATATGTAAATTATAATTCTTCCGGAAATTATTTATTAAAATTATTCCGGAAAGTTTAAATTCATTTTTCTAATTCCGGAAGGGTTATAGTTATAAAATTCTGTCAAAATTTCCGGAATTTTCTTCTAATTTTTTTCTCACCAAAGTGCACTTAAGTTGGCCATTTGTGGACTCTGCGTAGATGACCGTCCACTTTTTGCATCAAAAACAACAAAAAGATTTCCTTGCGCAAAAGGACTATGCCTTCTTTGAATATTATTATTAGCTTCGTTTTTACTTGGAAATGTACTCAATAAAATTAATAATAAAAAATAGGGAAATTGAATTTTGTTTTGGCAGTAATAATTAAGGCAAGGGTGAATTAATTTTTTAATTAAATTTAAAAGGGGAAAATAATTATAATTTTTATTTTTATTAAAATAATAAAATAAGGAAGAAAATGTTGTTAACATTAAATTTATTTTAAAATTTTAAATTTTAGCTCGTATATTTTAATTAAATTTTTATTTTGAAGATTTGTTGTTGATTTTATTTTTTAATTAAAAAAATAAATTACATTATTGAAAAATAATAAAATATTTAATTAGAATAACTAAGTATCTAAGAATTAAATTTTATATAAGAAAAATAATTATTTTAAAAAATAATTATTTGTAATCCTTCCGGAAGGATGGAATTCTTTTAAAATTAGTTTTTAATTATTCCGGAAAGTTATACAAAGAATTCTACAATTTTCCAGAAATAGTTTATTAATTTTGTAAGAATTCCTCCTTTTGAATTATTCTTATATAAACTTCCCGGAAAAGTTTCCGGTAAGTTATATGAAATTATAATTCTTCCGGAAACTATTTATTAAGATCCTTTCGGAAGGTTTCCGGAAAAGTTTCATATAAAATTTCCGGAAAATTAATAAATTCCGGAAAGTTATATAACTTTCCGGAAAAGTTATACTATCTCCGGAAAATTATATAATTTCCGGTAAATTATATAAATTCCGGAAAGTTATACATACTATTTCCGGAAAATTATAGTACCTTACGGAAAATTAATAACCTCCGGAAAGTCATACTATGTATTTCCGGAAAAGTTTAAATTTAAAAATATTTTAAAGACTTTCCGGAAACTTGTCACACTTCTAAATAATTTTATAAACCTTCCGGAAAACATTTTCCGGAGCCAAGTTTAACTTTAAAAAATAATTTAAAAATAATAATTTTTTATTCTTCACATATCAAATACGCATCCATAACATTTGCTTAAAAAAATAAAAAAACCTAAAGGATAAAATTTCAAAAAATAAAATAGCAAAACGTGAATGAATAATGCCTCAAGCTAAGACTGAAAATAATTCTGTTAAATAAAAAAAATAAAAAAAATAAATATAAAAAATAGGCAGCCGCCCAATATAAACTCTAAAAATATAAACTGAGTCATTCAAAGCGACAGTCAAAAAATAAAATAAAAATATTTTTTCTTCTTTAAATTGAAATGAGGTGGGCCATGAAGAGAAAAAAAATTTTTGAGAGAGAAAAAAATTTTTGAGAAAAAAAATTTTTTTTAAAGAAAAGAACGTTTGTTTGTTTATTTAAGAGGGAGAAAAAATATTTTTTTAGAAATTGAGGGAAAATGAAATAAAAATGGGGGTGGTTTATTTTAAATTTTATTTATTTTAAATAATGTTTTAAATAAATTCTGATTTTAATTAAACTTGTTTCAAATTAATTCTGATTTTAAATAAGAATGTTTAAATAAAATTCTGATTTTAAAATTCTGGTTTTTATGTTATAAAAGTTTAATTTTCAGAATTCCAACCTTAATTTATTTTTCAGAATTCTGATTTTCATTAAACTTGTTTTTAAATTATTCTGGTTTTTTAAAGATTTTTTTAAGTTGTAAAGAAGAAAAGAACGTTTGTTTGTTTATTTAAGAGAGGGAGAAAAAATATTTATTTTTTTAGAAATTGAGGGAAAATAAAATAAAAATGGGGGGTGGTTGTGATTTGATTTTAAAAAGAAGAAAAGTGCTTCAATTGGGAAAAAAGGAGAAATTAAATTGAATTGCGCTATTTTGAGTATTTACTATTGTTGAGAGAATAAATGTTGTTATGAATAGAATAAACTTTGATATTTTATTTGTTTTTAAAACAAACTTGTTTTATAAAAATTCTGATTTTTAATTAAACTTGTTCTAAATAAATTCTGGTTTTTAAATAAACATGTTTTAAGTTTTTATTTTAATTAAATTCTGATTTAGATAACCTTGTTTTAATGCTTTAAATAAATCTGATTTTTAAATAAACTTGTTCGATTAAAATTCTGATTTATAATTAAACTTGTTTCAATTAAATTCTGATCCTTGTTTAAAATAGGTATGTTTTAAATAAATTCTGGTTTTAATTAAAACTTGTTTTATTAAATTCTGGTTTATAATAAAACATGTTTAAATAAAATTCTGGTTTTAAATAAACTTTGTTTTAACTAAACTTGAAAATAAACTTGAACAGAAAAACATATATAAATACTCTAAAAATAAATATTTTCTTCTCCAAATAATTCACCTTAAAAACTCAAAAAAATAAAATGTTTGTATAAAACTTGCTACTGTTTAGAAAGGAACAAAAGTCGTAGAAAACTCCAAAAAACAAAAAAAATAAAAGAGGAAATGGCCAAAAGTTGGTGTAATAAAATGAAAAAGAGAGCAGAACAGAAGGAAAATGAGTGTTTTAGGGGTGGCTGACGCGTTTTCATTCTTCAATTTTGTGTTGTTTATATTACGGATTTTTTTTCACAATTTTTGTAGAAAATAGTAGTAGTTATTTTTTGGGGGAATTGCGAACATGTTTTTATTATTTTTTAAATAATGTTTTAAATAAATTCTGATTTTTTTGAAACTTGTTTTTAAATTATTCTGGTTTTTAAACAAACATGTTTTGTTAAAATTCTGGTTTGAATAAACTTTGTTTTGATAGAATTCTGATTTTAATAAACTTTGTCTGAGAATAAACTTGAAAATAAACTTGAACAGAAAAACATTCTTTAAATAAACTTGTTTTAATTAAATTCTGATTTAAATATTCATGTTTTTAATTTATTCTGATTTTAAATAAGCTTATTTTAATGTCTGGTTTTTTAAATAATTCTGATTTAAATAATAAAACAATAAATAATAATATGTAAAAATAAAATAAAAAAACATCTAAAAAATAATTTAAAAAACTAATAAATTTTCTAAAAAATTTAAAATTGTTTTTTTACATATTTTCCCCGTCAATTCCAATAATTTCAGCCACGTCGCAGCATTAGAATTCCCCAAAGAGAGGAAAAGAAAATCCTTTACAACAGCAAAAAGTGAATATTATAGGGGGAATTTGGAGGTAAATTAAGGCTAAAATGTTTTTGGTTGAATAAATATTGGAATGATAAAAATATAGAACGGTTAAAATAATATTAAAGTAATTTTTGACAGCAGAGAAATAAAAAAAATAAAAATCAGAATTTTGTAAAAACATATAAAACTTTAAAAACAGAATTTATTAAATTTCAGAAAAACAAGTTTAATTCTGAAAAATAAATTAAAGTTGGAATTCTGAAAATTAAACTTACAACTTAAAAACCAGAATTTTAAGACCAGAATTAAATAAAAACAAGTTTATTTAAAACCAGAATTAATTTAAAACATGATTAATTAAAATCAGAATTTCATTAAAAACATGTAAAATTAAATCAGAATTTTTCTAAAACAAATTTATTTAAAATCAGAATATATAAAAATCAGAATTTCAAATGAACAAAAAATACCCCAAATTAAATCAGAAAATAAATAAAACTCAAAAGAATGTTCGTGATAAAACCCAAACATTTTTTTTTCTTTTTACCTTCCCATTATTTTTTAACCACAACAGATTTTATTTATTTTCACATTAATTTTACTAGCTATTTATTAAGACATTCGGCCTAGTATTTTAAAAACCTGTTGTTTTTATTTGTTTTTAAATTATAGTTTTTTTAAATAAATAATGGAAAAATAAAAGTAAAAATTTGAAGAGAAAAAATAATTTTTTGCTTGATTTATTTTTTTAAATTAAATCAAATAACATTTAATTAAATAAGAAATAAATTGTGACATTTTTTAATTTTTTTTGACAATTTTCTCGACGTAAAATATATTTTTTATTTTATTTGTTCAGTCAACTAATTAAACATAGGTATAAATAGGTAGTTATTATTATTTATAAAAACATGAAACCAGAATTCATTTAAAACAAGTTTATTTAAAAATCAGAATTTATTTGAAAAAGTTTATTAAAAAAGTTGATTTAAAATCAGAAGTTCATTCAAACAAGTTTAATTATTTAAAATCAGAATTAAATAAAAACAAGCATTTATTAAACCAGAATTTATTCAAAACAAGTTTATTTTTAATCAGAATTATTAGAACCAGAATAAAAATCAGAATTATTAAAATCAGAATTAAAACAAGTTGATTAAAACCAGAATTTTTTAAAAACATTTTTAAATCAGAATTATTTCCCAATAAAATAGTACTTATAAAGATTTATTTATTTTTTATTACCCAAAATCAATTTGGCCATTTAGAGTTACGAAATGCGTGCGTGAGTGGATAGTGAGGTAAAACAAGATGACAAGCTTTACTAACAATAAAATCCATTTATTTGTCTATTTCCTCCTTTTTCCTTTTAATTTTTTTCAAAGAAAAAACCTTTGTGATTGGACACCATTTTTCAACAAGCTATTTATTACTTTGGAGGAAATAATAAAAAAAAAAGAAAAGTGAAAAATGGGAGAAAATACGTTAAAAATAAATTTATTTATTTTTAGTGTTGTTGATTTATTTTAAGGAAGGAAATAATGTTTTAATTAAAGTTTATTTAATTTAAGAGGTTTATTAAAACAATCAGAATTTCATTAAAACATGTTTAATTAAAAAACAGAATTTTTCTAAAACAAGTTTGTTTTTAAATTTTTTAAAATCAGAATTAGTTTAGAACAAGTTTAATTAAACAACTAAAACAAGTTTATTTATTTAAAACCAGAATTATTAGAAACCAGAATTTCTTTAAAACATTAAAATTAAATAAACTTGTTTTAAATATTTAAAATAAAGAGAAAAACATTTTTTAAAAACATTACTAACCTTTTATGAAATGAACAACAACAAAATATATTTTTAATATTTATGAGAGGTGTTCAAAACGGTATCACGACTTTTGCGCCGAGAACATTTGCGCCGCGACTTTTGCGCCGCGACTTATGCGCCGGGCGACTTTTGCGCCGCGACTTGTGCGACGCGACTTTTGCGCCGGGCGACTTATGCGCCGCGACATTTGCGCCGCCATAATTATAAAAAATAATATCTACAGTCGGACCTAATTATAGTGTACTTCTTAAAAAATGGTATTCAGGAGCTGAAGGAATTTCAGAAAGTACAATATTTCGGGAAGTACAATAGCCCCCTCTAATAAACCGCCACCCTAGAGGAAGGTTTAAAAATAAATAGACCCCCTAGAGGGCTCATCTTCAAAGAACTTGACTTTTTCGGATCATGATTTTCTGTCAGAAGAGGGTGCACTATAGTGTAGGGTTGTCGGGTCCAGATATCCGGATCTGAAAAAGGCCGGATAGCCGAAAATTTTTGGTCGGATATCGGTTCCGGATCTTGATATACGAAGATCTCCAACTATCCTACATCTTCTATAGTGAGGTCCTGCTGTAGTTTTTCATAATTATTAATGATAGTGGCGGCGCAAAAGTCGTCCGGCGCAAAAGTCGCGGCGCAAAAGTCCCCCGGCGCATAAGTCGCCCGGCGCAAAAGTCGCGGCGCAAAAGTCCCCCGGCGCATAAGTCGCCCGGCGCATAAGTCGCGGCGCAAAAGTCCCCCGGCGCATAAGTCGCCCGGCGCAAAAGTCGCGGCGCAAAAGTCCCCCGGCGCATAAGTCGCCCGGCGCATAAGTCGCGGCGCAAAAGTCGCGGCGCATAAGTCGCGGCGCAAATGTTCTCGGCGCAAAAGTCACGGAACCTTCAAAACAAATAATAATAAAGTGTTGCCCTTACATTTTTAATAATAAATTTAAGGAAGCCAGAAAATATGAAAATTGTATTTTTTAATAGAAAAGACTGACCATTCGTTGGCCAATAAAAATAAATAATAATAAAAATATTTATTTATTCAACCAAGTAAAAATAAAAATGGAAAGAGAATGGAAGTCACGCGCAGGAAAAAGAAAAATTTATTTTTATTTATTATTTAATTAAATAGATTTATTTTTAAATATTATCAGAATTAATTTTAAACAAGTTTAATAAAATCGGAATTAATTTGAAACAAGTTTAATAAAATCAGAATTAATTTTAAACAAGTTTAATAAAATCAGAATTTATCTAAAACAAGTTTATTTAACATCAGCATTAATTTAAAACAAGTTTAATTATCAAAAATCAGAATTCTAATTAAAACAAGTTTTTAAACAAGTTTACAAAAACAAGTTACATTAAAAACCAGAATTAATTTAAAACATATTTAATTCAAAAATCAGAATTTATTAAAAACATGCTTACTTTTACAAATTCAGAATTTGATTAAAACAAGTTTTTAGAAAATCAGAATTTTAATTAACACAAATTCGCCTAAAATACGTACCCAGATATACTTTTTCTCTTTAAATATATTTAATAATAAAATTTAAATATTAAAAAAAAATTTTTATATCCAACTGTGTTTAATAATAATTACCTCATGTTTAAAAAATTATTTAAATAACAAAAGTAATTTTTTCTTTAAAAAAGAAAAGCCGATTGATCGGCTTATGGGAAGAAGAATAGAAAATAAAAGAAAAAAATCAAGGAAAATAAAAGTATTTTTAGTTTAAGCCGCGGGGTAAAAATAAATTAGTAAAAAATTTTTTTGATTGGAAATGAAAAGTAAAATAAATGACAACCGCTTGGGTGGGCAATTGAGTGAGGAGAGGACATTTGTTATTTAAAATCAGAATTATTTTTTTAAAGAAAATTCTGAATTTTTTGTAAAACCAGAATTTAACTTGAAAAATATAAACTTGGTTTTTAAAATAAAAATCAGAATTAAAAAAATATTTTCTGATAAATAATTCTGGTATATTAAAAACATTATACATAGTCGTTAGAACAAAAATTCTGATTTTTTATTTAAAATCAGAAATAATTTCGAACAAGTTTATAAAAACAAGCTACATTAAATACAAGTTTAATTAAAATCAGAATTAAATTAAAACATGATTATTTATAAAATCAGAATTAATTCTAAACAAGTTTCATTATAAAAATCAAAATTTTTCCAAAAACTTTATTTGAAAATCAGAATTTAATAAAAACAAGATTATTTATTTAAAATCAGAATTAATGCAAAACAAGTCTAATTAAAAATTAAATAAATTCTGATTTTATTAAATAAAAATTCTGATTATTTCTAGACTCTGAAAACAACTATAATTCACTGGACACTTGTGAGGGAATTTTTAGTGGATAATTTAAGAATAAAAAAATATATTCTTTTCTCGTTATATTCTCTATTGAAAACGAGGTAATTTTGTCTTGTAATTTATAAAAAAAATTATTTGTTGAAGTAATTAAATATATATTTTTTTGAAAGGTAATTTAAGGAAGAAAATTTAGGACAAATCTTGTAGGGGGATGGTGGACAATTTGTTTTAATTCTTTATTTTAATTGAGATTTTTTGGGAAGAAAAAATAAATCTTTTTTTTTGATCGCAAGTTAAAAAACAATTTTTATTTTTGAATTTTAAAAATTAAAAAAATTTTTTTTAATAAAAGTTTATATCTATTTTTATAATTATTAAACTATATGAATACTGATAATTTAAAAATAAATTTACAAAAATAAAAATTAAAAAAATTTTTTTGTCCGCAAAATCTGTCCGCAAGTTAAAAAATTTCATTTTAAAAATTAAAAAATTTTTGCGGACAAAAATTTTGCGGACAAATTTTGCGGACAAAAATTTAAGGCAAGAGAATTTTGAACATACCTCAAAATTTAATTTTTAAAAATTAATTAATCTTCTTTTGTTGGAATAAACCCAAACCGTTTAAAGGCTTCTTTTTCAAGCATTTCCCTATCGTCAGGATGTGATATTTGAATTAATTCATAGGCACGTTGACGGACTGTTTTTCCCCACAAACTAGCTATTCCATATTCTGTTACTACATAATTACACTTGAAAAAAAATTTTTTTTTGGAATTTATTTTTAATTAAAAAAAATTTTTTGTTCGTTAGAAATTAAAAAAAATTTTGTCCGCAAAAATTTTTTTGTCCGCAAAAAACTTGCGGACAAATATTCACTTGCGGACAAAATTTTGCGGACAAAAATTTTAAAATTTTAAATTTAAAAAATAAATAAGCTCTTACGTGTCCTTTAGTTGTAACAACTCCAGCCCCCTTAAAATATTTATTTTTAAAATTTAGATGGCCCACAAACCTCTTTTACATGAGGAACAATTTTAGGTTCTCCTTTAGATGTTCTTGAAGGAAGGGCGATTATGGCTTTTCCAAGACCATCCAAAGCTACGGATGATCCAAAAATAAAATCGACTTGGCCACCAAAACCTATGGGAAAAAAATTAATTTTTTATTTTTGTCCGCAAGTTTTGTCCGCAAAAATTTTTTTGTCCGCAAAAAATTTGCGGACAAATTTTTTTTAAAAATTAAAAAAAAATTTTAAATTGCGGACAAAAATCTTTATTACTTAAAAAAAATTACCAGAATAAAACCTTTTTCCAATAGTATCAGAAACTACTTGCCCAGTTAAATCTACTTCTATAGCTGAATTTATTGCGGTCATTTTACTTTGTTGGATAATAGTCGTAATTGAATTGGTGAATCCAGCACTTCCAAATACTTTAAATTAAATTTTAGGAATTTGAAAAAAAAATTTTTTTTTAATTTAAAAATAATTTTTAAGCCAAAAAATGGTCATAACAACTAAATAACCCAGGAAGGATTCGAACCCTCATGGCCGACAAGGCAAGACAAGCACGCTAACCAGTCGGCCACCACAAACTTAAACACGACTATTTAATTTAAATATGTAACCTATATAAAAATTTACTTAAAATCAACTAAAAATTAAATGAACAGCCTAATTTAAAAATTATTGCGGACTAAATTTGCGGACAACCTCCCAAAACTTAATTTAAAATTTTTACTTTATTTTTTATTAAAATAAAAATAAAAAAAAATAAAACCGAACAAAATAAAGGATTTCCATCCAAAATTTCATAAAATTCTTTAGACCCCATAGCAAAGCAAGTAACTATTCTGCCTGGATACATTGTTTTTTGACTGTTATTAATTACTCCCAATTTTAATAAATCTACAATTCCATCACTTATCATTTCTGTGTGAATACCCAAATTTTTGTGTTGTTTTAATTGATCTAAAACGTTGTTCGGGATTGAACCTATTCCTTTAAAAATGATGAAAAAATTAAAAATTTGCGGACAATTTTTGCGGACAAAATTTTGAACTTGCGGACAAGACGGAGGAAAAACTTTAAAAAAATTTAAGGGATAAATTCAGTTACAAAAACAAAAAAAAAACAATAAAATACTAGGTCATGTCTCCCCAAAAAATAAATTTAAATAAGAAAAATAAAGACTAGAAAAACTACTATACTTGGACATCTGATCCCAAATTTAATATTCGTAAAATTTTAAAAGAAAAATCTCGAGAGGGAAACGAAGATAATCATTCACAAGTATAAATGAAACAGCTGGAAAACCAAAAAAAATTTTTAATTCAAAAAAAAATTTGCGGATAAAAATTGCGGACAACCCCAAAAAACTTTAAGTAAAAAACGAACCCAACAAAAACTCCAAAAATGTCCCCCCAAAATTAATTAACATAAAAAACCTCCTCTATTTATTCCTCACCCATTTGTAAAGTCGCCCCATTATCAACTAAATTTTCAGCTATCCATTTTCCAATTAATCTTTCCTGGTCATTCGATTCAATTGCTGGTAATTCAAAAATTGGTGTTGTATTGATAGAATGTTCAACTAAATAGTCAATTTGTGATAAATGAATTTCTGAATCTCCAAAAGTTTTTGGTTGAGAAGTGTTTATTGTGGCTATTATTTTTTTGGCGTTTCTGGCGGCTGGACTTAAAAAAATTTTTTTTTAATTTTTGGAAAAAGCACATTTGCGGACAATCACCTTTTGCGAACAAACTCCTATTTACTACTTAAAATGGTCACTAAAAATTAAAAAAAATCCACTTACGAAAGCAAATTAAAATAAATACGAAACAGAACTCACTACTTAAGAATATCCAAAAAGTGATTGTCCGCAAAATATTTGCGGATAAAAATTTTGTCCTCAAATATTTTGCAAACAAGCTCCTATTTACTCCTTAATATTGTAACAAAAATTTAAAAAAATTCGCTTACGAAAGTAAAATTTTAAAAAAATACGAGGCAAAATTCACTCTTTAAGGATGTCCGCAAAGCGAGTGTCCGCAAATATGTTCTTAGAAATTTTGAATTTAACCAAAGTCAAATTAAAGAAAATAGGCAGAAAAGCAAAAAGAGGGGACAGACCTTTTTATAAAAAAAAATAGGAAATTAAAAACCTGGATAAATCCACATTAACACCCAAAGAACAATAACCGTGTTTATCTGGAGGTGATAAATTCAACAATGCAGTATCTACAGGTATTGCTTTTTCATCAAAGAGACGAGCAGAATCGGAGAGAAAAAGGGGAATATAATCAGCTAGACCTTTAAAAAAATTAAAAAAAATTTTTTTAATTAAAATTTATTCGATTTCTATTATTTTCCCAAAATCCGCAAATTTTGTCCGCAAGTTTTATTTTGGCTTATTAACTAGGAAGAGTAAAGGAATTGATGAATTTGAAGGTATTTTAGCAAAATATTGTTGATTTATTCACCCAAAATAACCCTTCCTTTCGACAAAACAAAAAATAAAACTTGCGGACAAAACTTGCGGACTTTTAAAAATTTGCGGACTTTAAAGATCCATGACTAATAGGCTCGTAAACTTGTAGAAATTTAAATATAAAATTTAAAAAAAATAATTCCCATTACAAAAAATAATCGTAAAAAACCTTTATTTACCAGTGGACGCATATTGTTACATATAAAGATAGTTTTACTTCTTATTTTTCCATTAAATTCTTCCTTTAGCCAAGGCAACTTTAAATAAATTTTTTTAATTAAAAAAATCTTTTTTAATTTTTTCAACTTAATTACCTCCCCACAAGTCATTGCATGTACAACTTTAATGTCAGTCAATCCATTTTTGAGTACATGCCTACCCAAAGCTTTGCACAAATCAATGGGCATAGAAACAGCATGGTGAAGGTAAATGGTTTCTCCTTTAAATTTAAAAAATTGCAAAAAAATTTTTCTAATGAATAAATTAAAGTAATTCTGACTTAAAATTAAATTTTGAACAATAAAAAAATTTTTTTTACCCTAAACGGACTCGAACCTTCACCCTAAATATTTACCGAACAACAAACACACAACCCACCACACCACCATTATTTAAAAAATTAAGAAAATTTCTAACGAGAAAATTAAAGTAATTTTGACTTAAAATTAAATTCCAACAAGGAAAAAAATTTTATGCCAAACGGACTCGAACCTCCACCCCAAATATTTACCAAACAAACGCACTACCCACTACACCACCCATATTTTTTTAATAAAAAATTTTTAAAAAACCGGATTTAATTTCCTTGACAGCCTCATCCAATCCACATATTTTTGGCATTTTTCCTTCAATTGGAGTTGCTAATGTTCTCAATGGCTTGTCAAAATGTCTCAACCCGGATAGGTAACGGCATTGGGTTGGGCAAATCTTCCAATAATGGAAGAGAGAAGAAACCATTTCTTTCCTAAAATAATTTTAAAAAATTTATTTGTTTAAAAATAATCAAAAATAATTTTAAATTTAATCTAAAAATTTTCTGAAATAAAAATGCTATTAATTAGGAGCAATAAAAAAATATTTGATACCAAAAGGATTCAAACCGCGACCCCAAATAAGGAGCAGTCAAGAACACTAACCATTACACCACAATGTTAGTTCACAAAATTTTTATTAAGCGAACCTATAGGGAAAATAATAAAAAACTAGCAAGAACAATAAAAAAAATTTTTTGACCTCAAGAGGACTCGAACCCCCGACCCCTAAATATGGGTAGTCAAGAACGCTAACCATTACACCACTAATGTTACTAGCGGACTTTCGTACAAAACGAACTTAAACAAAAAAAAATAAAATATAAATTAAATTATTTAAAAACCACAACACCAAAAAAATAAAAAAACGGTTAAAAACCAATCCACAACACAAAAAACACGACAAAAAAGCTTTATTAATAAAAGAGAAATGCAATAAAAAAAAGAAAATTTTTTTAAATGCAAAACACGAAATTTTAAGTTAAAAAAAGCGAGTATCAAAATTAAATATTGCCACTAATTTGATTATATTTTAAGTGAAAGAACAAAAAAAAATAATAATTTTTTGATTGGGATATTTTTTTGAAAATGTATACTTTGATGGTATATTGGAAGGTAATTTATTTAAATAAATATTTATGTCATTAAAAATATTTTTTTTTGAAATTTTTTATTTAAACAAGTGTCCCTCTCTCCCTTCGCTTCTCTACTCTCTCCCCCACCTCTCCTCCATCTCCCCTAATCAACCCCCCTCTCCCCTCTTCCATTCTCTCCTCCTCCACACACCTCCCCTAATCAACTCTCCTCCCTCCTCTCCCCTCCATCCTTCTACTCCCCTCCTCCACTAATCAACAACAAATCTACCCCCAATTTCCAACCAATTAATTTTTCATTTACTTTTTTTTGTTCTCGTTTTCTCTTTTTTATCTAATTTTCTATTTAATTTTATTATTTTCTGGTACATTTTTAATTGATTTTTAAGTTAAATTAATTATTGAAACTATAAATCAGTTTAAAAAAATCCAGTTTTTAAAAATTTTTGGAGAAGAGGGAGAGACTTAATTGTGAACTTAAGAAAAGTAAACTTAAGAAATTTCAAAAAATCCGCAAAAATTTTTTTTGCGGACAAAATTTCGTCCGCAAAAAAATTTTTTGCGGACATTTTTGTAATTTATCTTTTCATCATTTTTCCTTTTAATGACATAAATAAATATATACCTCAAATTAAAGCAAAAAGAAATTAAGTGAATATAGAGAGGTTTTGGCAGTAAATTTATTATTATTTTTTCTTTTTTAAGTGAATATTAATTTTCATGTTTCATCATTTCTCCTAAAATATACCCTTCCTTAAAAAAATTTTTTTTTATTTCATTGAAGCAGAAGTCGGCGACAAAAATTGAACAGATGCTGGCTAATTTTTTTGTATATTTTAATTAAATTAATAAAAAAATGCAAAAATTAATTTTTGCGGACAAATTTTTTGTCCGCAAAAATTTTGCGGACAAATTTCGAAGAATTTTGTTATTTTTAAAATTAAAAAGAAATTCACACTCAAAAATGCTTAAAAAATTAAAGAACCTGTTTTTGTTGCAAATTCATTTCTGGAGAACAAAAATGTATTGGAAGACGGTTTTGATGAACCTTTGGAGTTGTTGGAGCTTTGTCACGCGGAACAAATGAACCATTCTTTCCAAAAGGAATTCCGAAGAAAGCACGGGTTCTGAAAATTATTTTTAAAATTATTATGAATGGAAGGGTATATGAAAAAAATTTTCAAAAAAATTTGCAGACAAAAAAAAAATTTTGCGGACAAAAATTTTTATCCGCAACTTTTTTGCGGACAAAATATTTTTTTGCAGATTTTTTCTAATTCTGAACAGAATTCCAAGGTCTAATATAAAAATGTGATTCTTTCAGAATAATTATCTCAAGGGAATATATTTATAATTTTAAAAGTGTCCGCAAATTTTGTCCGCAAAAATTTTTTTGTCCGCAAAAATTAAAAAAAATTAAATTTTAAAAAACCGTTGAAATGGATTTTCAGAAGCACTTCTAGGCCATATTTTACGACTTTCCTTGCTATTATTTCCTCTAGTTAATCCTCGACTTTGCCTTTCATTATTATTTTGGTTACTTGTCGATTGTTTTTGTTGTTGCTCTTTTTGGACATTTTTTTGCAATAATTGTTGTTGTTGAATTAAAAATGAAGAACAATCAGAACTTTTACGATGAAGAAAACCACGATTAACTGGTGGCATTATTCGAGGAATACCTTCAAAAAAAGTAAATTTTTTTAAATTTGCGGACAAATTTTTGCGGATTTCTCTAGTTTTAAAGATTCCTTCTTTTAAAGATTCCTAATTGATTGTCAAAAAATTAAAAATTCCTAAAAAATCTCTTGTCGATCTTGTAAATAGCCACCCCTCCTACAAAATATCCAAAAACATTCCAAAAAAATTCGCCAAAAAATAAAAAATGTTTTCGGATTTTTACACATCCAAACTATTTAAATTAAAAAATATTTAATAAAAAACTAACACAAATAATTAGCATATTGAATAAGTAGAGAGACAACAGAAGCCTGCAAACCTTTTCTGCGCTTTACAAAATCAATTTCTCTTAAGCTTTCCTAAAAATAAAAATATAATAATTTAATAGGCAACCCCTCAAAAGCCGCCAAAATGGCAAACAATCATTTGGCATTTCGGCGGATTCTACGGTTTGGGATTTGAATGGCTTTTGGGAGGTTTGCCCTTTTGGATTTTCACTGTTTGGCATTTCGGCGCACTTCAAATTTAATTAAAATTAAAATTAAAAAACCTGAGAACCCGTAAACTTCTTTTTCCTACAATTTGCAATGTTAGACAATGGACGGCATCTAGACGAATCTCCATTAGCCGTCACACTGCTTGTACTGCTACTTAAACAACAAGAACTTCCAGTACCCCAAATAGAGGCAGACGGGCGCATTTCTATTGGATCTACAAATATTGCTGGGGCAAAGACTATACCCAAGTTTGCAATGGACATTTGATTTGTTGAGGAAAGATCGGAGACCTTGAAGAAAAAATTTATTAAAACAACCAGTCTCTAGAAGAAAAAACCTTTTTAAGTTGTCTCATCAGATAGCACAAGGTTGCCTGGTTGGTAAGCGGAAGGAGATCTATCAACATTAGAACCTACAAAATTAGTAAAAAGTTGTTTGTTTTGCCAAAAGAAGGATTTCGCCTTTATTTCGGGCATTCTCGAATTTATTTTATAAGCCTTTATTTTATAAATAAATTTTTATAAATCCGCAAATTTTTTGTAAATTTTTACAATCCGCTGACAGTTCTCGTCCTTTCAGTCCGCAAATTTTTGCAGATATAATCCGCAAACCTTAGCAAACTTTTCTAAATCCGCAGATCTTAGCGACTTTATTAAGTCCGCAAATATTTGCAGACTTTTTATAAATCAGTAAAAGATGTCCGCAATAAAGACATCCTCTATAAACATAAAATAGTAAACAAACCGATTCAGCCTGTACACGTTCATTGCTTAAAGTACTCACATTACTCATAATATTAGCTTGATGATCTCCAAGGATTGGTCTCTTCAAAGCCCCAAAAAATCGTTTAATTAAAGTGCAAACATCGTGGACTGTATAAGTATCCGGAATTCGTGAAAGTCCGCAAAATATTTGCTGAAAATTTGAGAAAAAATTTCTTTAAAAAAAATTTCTTTTTTGTCCGCAAAAATTTTGCGGACAAAAAAATGGTAATCTTGTGTTTTACTGGTCCCTAGAAAAATCTGTGGAAAAAGTGTTAGTTCGACATTTTTAAGGTATGCCAGTAGGTAATCGATCTTGCTGAGTCCGAATCTGAGCTTAAAATTTGTTTATTTCGAGCCCCGGACCCGAATTCGACCATGTCAAACATGGGGTAAAAATTCGAAATTTCAAATTTTATGTCTAATCGGACTAGTCCCCTCGAGCAGAGTCGATTGGTAGTAAAATTATTACGTTTCGACATCTTTAGACTAAGTTATAGTGTCTGATTTGTATACTGGAGTGTAACCAAGCGTGTATTTAATTGATCATAACTTAGTCTAAAGTGTTCGACCTGGTCGAATTCAGGTCCAGGGTTTGAAATAAACAAATTCTAAGCCCATATTCGGACTCAGCACACTCGATTACCTCCTGGCAGACCTCAAAAATATCAAGAAAGTACTTCTACCACATTTATTTTCTAGAGACCAGTAAAGCACAAGATTACCAAAAAAAATTTTTTTAATTAAAAAAAAACCCAAGGATTTCTCATTCTGACAGCACTTCCTTCTTTTCGAAATATTCCTTCCATAGTAAACGCATTTTTGTTTTCAAGCCATGTGAAGGCTTCTACCAGAAATCTGAAAAGAAAATCTTAGAAAAAATTTAAGAAAAATGTTTTTTTTAATTTTTGCGGGCATTTCTTGCGGACAATAAACAAGAAAAAATAAATCCATTGGATAACAACCATTTAGTAAAAATGATAGGAATGGGGAAAGGTATTTTATCACTTGAAGGGGATTTTTATAGGTACCAACTGAAGATGGGAGAAACATTCTTTAGAATATTTTTTCGAACGCATTGTAATGCCAAAATGTCGAAATACCTAAGGGAGTTTTTTCAACTATTTTTGCGGACATTTAAAGAAAACTTTATTTGCGGACTGTTTTTGCGGACTTTTTATAAGATTGTAAGCTCCCCAAAAATATTTTTAGAAGCCCTCTTCCTTAGTTAGACCAAAACCTACCCCCACCCCCCTTCTTAACTCAAACCTCCCAAAAATTCTTTAAATTTAATTAAAATAAACAAACTAACAAAGGCACTCCATACAAAGTAACTTTCCTTCCCCTCCTCTTATTTCCACTCCCAGTCTCAATTTCAATATCATAAGTAGGGACAGCCAAAATATGCACGGAAAATTGCCAAATATGCGCATATATATGCACCGAAAAAGCCCAAAATATGCATCAAAATATGCAAAATTTGCCAAAATATGCAGTTAAATATGCACCAAAAAATAGTTAAAATATGCTTTAAAAATCAATATTTTAATTTAAAAACACTAATTTAGCCTTTAATTTTACATTTTATGAACACTTCTAAAGGATTTAGTATATTTAAAATTTCTGCAAAAATTTTGGGGAAAAAATTTTCCCCAAAAAATTTTCGAAAATATTTTTTCAAAAAATTTTTATAAAAAAATTTTTTTGACCAAAAAATTTCAAAATTTTGGTCAATTTTTGGCAAAATTTTACAAAAAATGCCTAAATATGGACCAAAATATGCAAATTTTGCCAAAATATGCACAAATATGCAAATATGCACGAAATGGTCGAAATATGCAAATATATGCATTAAGAACCGGGTCCTAAAGTGCCCGTACCTATGTAAAAACACCATTTTTGGGCTTCCCACTTCAAGGCATATTCGCATACAAAACATGCATTTGCATGTTTTGGCTGTCCCTAATCATAAGAAAGCACATTTTCCAAAGAAATATTTAAAGGCCCCAAATCCTGAGTTTTTGTATTTGGCCGTTTCTTCATTGAAATAATTTCGTCTGTCGACATTTTTTGAGGTTAATAAACAATTAAATAAAGCTATATTACCTTTAAAAAAGATTTAATAAAAAATAAAAATTAAAAAAAATATTTTTTCAAAAAAAATTTTTTGCGGACTCTTTTTGCGGACAATTTTTTAAAAAATATTATTCCCTGAAAAATTCAAAAAAATTGACCCTATTGAAAAAATTCAAGACTGACCCTTTTATAACAATTTTTTGAAATTTTTTTCACAAAGGACAAATTTTTTGAGTTTTCTTGGGAATAATATTTTTTTAAAAATTGTCCGCAAAAAGAGTCCGCAAAAATATTTTTATTGAAAAAATATTTTTTTAATTAAAAAAATTTTCAGCACCTAAAAACGAAAAGAAATAAATTTTTAAAAATAAAAGTGATTTTAAAAAACACAATTTTAGGCAAAAAAATTAATTAAAAGCTCTCCAAATTTTTATTTTTTTAATTTTAAATAAAAGCAAAAAAAGAAAGTTAAAAATACAATCCAAAATAATTTTCACAAAAAAATTAATAGACAAAAAATATTTTAGTAAAAAAATGTTGATTATTTTTACTTTTATTTTTACAAATATAAATTCAAAAAAAAAAAAATAAATTGAAAAAAAGAGAAAATTAATGGGAGCAGGCCAGTGTACCGCGAGCCCAATGTACCGCCGAGGCTATAACTTTTTCCAAAATTGTCGGATTCATGGCGCCTGGTATGGTTCGATTCAGCTGGTCGAGACGCATCGAACCATACTAAGATCCCATGGATTCGTCAATTTTGAACAGTTATAGCTCGGTGAGTACATTGGGCTCGCGGTACATCGGGGTATACCCAAAATTAATATATAAGAAAATTTTGAATTTCAGAGAGAGAGAAAATTAAATTTTAATTTTAAATAAATGAAGACAAAATAATTTGTTTATTTACATTTTTAGAGCCTATCTAATCTTTTAGATTTTTCAAAAAAAAATTTTTTTTTCAAGAAAAAAAATTTTTTCAAATTTTTCCAGAGCCCTCAAAAAAATTTTTAAGAAAAAATTTTTTTCTTAAAAAATTTTTTTCTTAAAAAATTTTTTTTTATTTTCCAGAGCCCTCCAAAAAAATTTCCTCGAAAAAAATTTTCTTACCGAAAAAATTTTTTTTCAAATTTTTTTTCCACAGCCCTAACCCCTTTAAAAATTTAAGTTTTTAATTTAACTATTAAAATTCATTTTATATACAAAAAATTTTTTTCCTTAAAAAGGATAGGGCCTCGATAAATTGAAAGTATTTTTTAAAGAAAAAAAATAAAAAAATTATACTTCAATTATTTCAATTCATCATTGAAGAGGTACGCTTTCCTGAACGTCTAGCTACTCGTCGTCCTCTATTTAAATCATCATAGGAGAGCCTGCAAAAAAAAAAGAAAAATTTTTTTTTCAATAAAAATATATAAAAAGAAAGCTTATTGTCAGGAGAAAAGCCAAGAAAAAAAAATTTTTAAATTTTATTTCCCCAATTTTTATTGAAAAATCTATATATGTGTGGGTGGGTGTAGTCAACAATTATTCTCATATTTTTTTATTAAATTTCTCTCCCTCTCAAACTTGAGTTTATGACACATAAAAAATATATGAATGGTTTTATTCTTATAGTACTTTATAAAAAAATATTATTTTATGAGAAATTAAGCTTCTGGGACTACAGCCCCCTCCCCCGAAATGGAAAACCTCTATTTTTGTTGTGTAGTGGTAACACTGATTGGCCGACTTTTGCGGCGCTTACACTTGCGGCTCAGAAATTTGCGGCCCAGACTATTGCGAACATTTAAGGCTCCCCCTATTGTGACACTTGCGGCCCGACATTTGCGGCTCAGACATTTGCGGAGATGATTAATAAATTAAGTAAATTTTTTAATGAAATAGTAATTTTAAGTAATTCTTTAAATTTTCCCCCTGTTTTCCCCAAGCTAATTTTTAAAATATTTATTAAAAATCATTACGATTTTAATACTGGACATTTTAAGGATCAAAAAAAAAAGAATAAAAGGATTTGGAGAAGATATCACGGAATTTATTTGAATTAAGAGAGATTAAAAGGATTGGTGGGGGTGGGGGGGGGGGGGGGGGGGCAAGTCAAAATAATAATTGCCAACCCTTAAATAATTACCATGTCTCTATTATTTACTCCTTCCAGCAAGAGAATGAAACAATAATTACCCAGGGTAATTAATAAATTGGGTTAAGGATCTGAGAGTTAGGATTTGAGAGAAATTCTCATTAAGGCTTTGAGAATTGGAAGCAGAATCTATTGACCGATATTAATTGAACGATAAATTATGATTTTTTATTTTAATTTTTTAATCATCGCCGCAAATGTCGGGGCCGCAAATGTCTGAGCAAGATGAAATAATAATTGCCAGTTAGGATTTGATAGAACATTTGCGGCCCAGACTATTGCGGTTTTAACATTTGAGGCTCCCCCTATTTCTCTTTGTGTGTGTGTCGGGTCGCAAGTGTCACAATAGGAGGGAGCCTTAAATGTTAAAACCGCAATAGTTTGGGCCGCAAATGTCTGAGCCGCAAGTGTACGCGCCGCAAAAGTCGCATCACCGTAACACTACTATAAGCCACTGTAAGCGTCAGTCTAAGGGGATCATACTAGCCCGGCTAGTCCTTGATCTCCTTCGTCTGTTCCAGCTCAATCCCTTCGCCCACACATTGTTATTTCTCTTTGGATAAACTGTTAACCATTGCAAGTCGACTTTCGTACAACCCTCGGACATAACAATTTTAGCCTCCCTGAAACCGATCCCCTGGCTACGCCCCAGTTGAAACATCAAAAACTGTGGAAGAAATTTGGCCCTTTCAAAAAATCCAAGCCTGACCCTTTTACAAATAATAAACCCTAACCCTTTTTAAACATCCCAAAAATCCCTAAAAATAAAAAAAATACCATTTAACTAGATCACGTTGTTTTGTATATGCCGGGCGTAACTGCATAGTTAATTTAAATTCACTTTTTGTAGCTGCGTGTGAGTAAACATGGTTGCTTACAAAAGATTGAATTTCTTCAGTCAAATTTATATTCATATTTGTTTGAAGTTCTCGATTGAATTCTAGGCCTATTAGCCAAAGGGTTGATATTGGGTCTCTGTAAAAATATTTTTATATTTCTTTTCCTCAAAATTAGGGTTGTCAGTTTCACCAAATTCTTCGGTTACCCCAAAACAGAACCGACAAACCGAACCGAAAATTTTCATTTTTCAGTTCAGTTTGAAAACCGACAACCCTAACAAGAAAATTCTCTTCCCTAAAATTTTTTTCAAAGGCTTGAGATGCCAAAAGCTTTTTGAAAAAATTATTAAAAATTTTTTTGAGCCGTTGGAGTACACAAAATAAATCACAAGTTTAATTATCTATTTTTACGCCCCCATGGAAAAATATTTTTTTGAAAATTTGAAAAAATTTTAAATTTTTTTTTCAAATTTTCAAAAAAATATTCCAAAAAATCAAACAAAAAATCAAATCCCACCTCCACCCCTCCCCCTCTTCCAAAAAATTTTTCTTAAAAATTAAAAAAAAAACCTTCTCCACTTACTTATATTCCATATCCATTTCCAATTTACAAATAGGCTTGTATTGACGTGGATTTACATGACACAAAGCAACACAAGAATTTCTTTCTAGAGAAGCTACCAAATGACGAATTTTTGATTCAACCAACCCAGCAAAAATTAAATGGTCTTCTTCTCCTTCTGTGACGCATAAAAGGACAATAAAATGTTTGTAACGTGTAAAAAAGTTTATTTCTTCAAAAAGTTTTTCCCAAGTAGCGTCACCTCTCGAAATTTCAATTATTGAGGAAAGACCTAAAATAAAAATATTTTTTTAATTTTTTTAAATTAAAAAAAATACTGAGTGCGACATAATACCAAACGCAAAAATACCAAACCCCAAAAAGCCGCCGAAATACCAAACTGGTTTTTTTTCCAACAGCGAGGGGAAGACCTCCAATAGTTATCTATTTGGTATTTCGGCATCATTTCCCCTGTTTGGTATTTCGGAGGTTTTTGAGGTTTGGTATTTTGGCGTCTTAATATTAAACGATCATATAATCAGAATCTTGCCAGAAAATCTATGAAAAATAAATGTATAAACCTTCTTTAAATTCATTAGTCATCACTTGACGTGTAGACCTTGTTACGTTAAATGTTGAATTTTGTTCAGGGAATGCAGGTGTTATAATTGGCATTAAATGGAAACGATCTGACATTCTTGTACGAGGATCCCATATCATATCTATATTAAAGAAAAAAATTTTTTTATTTAAAAAATGGTTGTCCGCAAAAATTTTGCTGACGTCCGCAAATCTATCAAATGTCCGCAAATATATTTTCACACTAACAGAATGATTCCTAACTGTGAAAATGCCTTGAAAAATTCCAATGGTTAAAAAATTCCTCACTTTGATATTTCTTAAAAGAATTTTTCGATTTATTTTGATTTGCGGACCAAACTTGCGGACACTCCATATTTCTAAAAAAATCTTTAAAAAAATAAACCTGCAAAATACGGCATATCAGACCTCGGAGTAGCATCCGCATCTTTTAAAATAACCGGATGTGGCCATTCCCATTGAGAAAAAACCAAAAAGAATTTTTCCAATAAAACGGCAGGGGATGCATTTGGGTATAATTGGCAAGTTCTAGCAACGAGGATTGCCCACGAAACGCCTCCAAGGAAGCCAAGAACGTTTGAATAAATGCCGTGATCTAACAAATTTTTTTAATTTTTTAAAATTAAAATGAAAAATCACATACTTTTAGCCCACAATTTGACTGCTCGAAGTGTTAAAATAAAATTAGAGTGGCTAGGGATTAACCTCAAAATTTCGTCTGCGACTCTACAACCTTTAAAAAAAGAATTTTTTAATTAAAAATCACAAAAATAACAAGAGCATAGCCAGAGAGTCGATTTAAGGGGGGCTAAAATTGGATGTGTGCCTAAATTTAGTCGTTTGCCCTGGCGTTCTATGGCAATTTTTAAAACATATTTCTATTTTTCAGTGCCGCAGGCAAAATTTTTTTTTAAATCTTGTCTGTCATAAACGAAAAAATTTCACTTTTTTGCTCAATCCCCTCCTCAAAATTTTTCCTTTCCCCATTTCGGGAGGAGCGAGGGAGAAGCCCCCTGGCTACGCCCTTGTAAAATAATAAAAAAAACCGTTTAATGAACGAATGCTTTTTTCATCCAAATTTCTCAATAAATTATCGTCTGTCAATTGCTGCTCGTCTGTAACTTCTTTTAGTGCTAATCGAGCAAATAGGATATCTAATTCTATACCGCTATAATGCAGTTTGATTAGAGGGACAAAAGCATCCTCAACTTTGTGGAGATCTGAAGTATTTTCATCCTGAAAATGTGGAAAAATAATTTTAAAAAATTCTAAAAATTTTTAAAATATTTTGTAGAAAATAATAGAAAAATATTAGGGTGAAAAAACAGTGAAAGGGTTCGAACCTTCCTCGTAAACCTATCGGAACCTACACCCATCCCACTCAACCACAACACAATCAATTGCAATTTTTTCTCTTGCTATAATCAACATAAGAAAAGAAGAGGAAAATAATTGAATACTCAATAAGTGAGGGAAACTCGACCGCTCCAAAAGTCTGAAAACTTGAGCAGCTATAACTTTTCGATTTGGGAGTCAGGGCGAAAAAAGCCTAAAATCGGCAATAGATTATAGACCATGCCCTACACGATGGTATCATTTTATTTAAAAATTTCTGGTCACAGTTCGAGTGGTTCCCTTGTGAGTCAGAAACAAAGTCCAGTTTAATTTCTTTTAATTGACTCAGATAAGCAGTTAGATATATATCACTATATCAACTCTTTTTTTAGAGTTTAAAATTCAAATCAAAGTGTAGATTTAAAACATCATTGTCAATTAAAATTTTCAACTAATTTTAAGGATTTTTTAGTTGTGGGGAGGAATAGACTTTTGTCCAAGCGTTTTTAGTTTTGATATCACGTCAGAAATCCAAAACTTTTAGATAATATTGTTAGTATCGATCAACCCTGCTCACTTGACCTTCCTAATGACACCAAAAATAAAAAAATCCAGTTACCCTCATTAACTAGAAGAAAAACTGAAGGTGACAAAATATCCCATTTCCTTAAAAACCCCAATTATTTAAAGCAAACCTCTTTCAATTTTTCATAAAATGAAGTAAAAAAGTCAGAACGATCAATATGTCTTGGAACAACACAAAGTGAGTCAATATCAGCTCCAGGGGTGTGCACACCAAGTCGATATGAACCAAAGGTAAACAATTTTCCGCCAACTGTTTCGAGTTGGTCTGGAGGGATCTGAAAAGAAAAAAATGTCAAAAGCATGTTATAACTCCCCTTAAATCCATCCTGATTCCCAAGTAAAGTACTTAACCAGGAAAAGCGTCCAAAAAACATGGACGCTAACTCGGTTCTTCAATTCGGAACCGAACCGAAAATTTATCGGTTAGGCTTACAATTAGAATATCCGAACCTTAAAAGGGTCCGGCTACCCTTCTGGCGATTAAATGACTAACATCAACTTTTCATTCGAAAATTGAATCTTGCCGAAATAAAACTTTCATCAACCTTAAAAGGGTCCGGCTACCCTTCTAGCGATTAAATGACTAACATCAACTTTTCATTCGAAAACTGGAATCTTGCCGAAATAAAACCTCCTTCAAGTTTCCAAGAAATGTTAATCAGGTTTGAATGAGCTCCTATGTACTAGTCATTTAATCAAAAAGGTTGATAACCCCATGACTTGGGGGTCACCAGAAAAACTTTCGCAAGAAAAAAGTGTAAACATAACTGGCAAAACGTTTCGTTCCGTAATAGTGAAATAGGTTTCGTTTCCTGCCCTCTTTCCTCTTGACAATTACGAAACTAAACGTTTCGTGCAGATATGCCGGTGACAACCGGACTGGGTCCACCTCAGAAGGTCAAAACCCAGAAGCTCAAGACCCAGAAGTCAAGACCCTGGAGATCAAATGACCCAAAAGATCAAATACAAATATTTGGGTGGATAAAGGTTTATCAGTCTTCTGGGTCTTGAGTTCTGGGTTTTGACCTTCTGGGTTGATCTCATCGGACCAGTCACCACAAATTACCCCTAAACCGTGCCCCAAAAAAATCAATAAAAAATTCAAAAAAAAACCTTGTCTACAGAAACATTTTTCACCCATTTTTTAACCATTGTATTAATCTTCCTCAAAACTTCCAAACGTCTCTGCATATCCACATCTGTTTCATACAATCCACATTTTTTTAAATATTCTTCCAATTCTTTAGTTAAACGTAAATCTTTTTCTGTTGGTGTTTTTGTACATATTGGGGGAGATACTCCATATTGTGGGGTTATTGTTGGAACTGAAATTTGTTGTTGTTGTTGTTGTTGTAGATCATTACTACTACTCATTTTTAATTAGAAAAAAAAAATTTTTTGTAATCTAGAAAAAATAAAAAAAATTAAAATAAAATAGGGACACGCCCACGTAGGCGCGAGACCATAACGGCGCAAAGCCATAACTTGCTGGAAAATTTCTGGACCTTATTAATTTTGGTACCAATCTCTTCAGCTCGATGAGAGGAATCGTTTAATACTAGATTTTGAGAGATTCCGAAATCTTGAAGCAAGTTATGGCTTTGCGCCGTTATGGCTTTGCGCCTATAAATTTCTCCCTTATAAAATTTCTCCCTTATAGTCCCTAGTAAAAACTCAATATTTCTTTGTAGTTAAGTGGTTTACATCTTCCCTGCAAATAGGTAAATATTGAGAGGTTCGACTCTTTCTAATTCTTTTTCATTTTCAAATAACTAAAAAATTTGCGGATTAAAGTTGCGGACAAAAAAAAAGTCCGCAAGTTTTTTGCAGACAAAAAAAATTGTCCGCAAATTTTTTTGCGGACTTTTTTTAATATCCCTGGTTTTCCCCAAAAAATTTTCTGGAAAAAATTTTTTTAATTGCGGACAAATTTTGCGGACTTTTTTATGAGTCCGCAAATATTTAAACCTACAAAAAATTTTTTAAATTTTTAAAAATCAAAAATGTGTTTTTCTTCTAACAACATTCAAACAACAAAAAAAATTTTAAGTTCAAAAATAAATGTTTATCCAAAAAAAAAGAAAAAAAATGTGTGTATATTTAAAATAGAAAGGGAAGAAGGAAATTTCGGGGCTCATTTTTTAACTAAAAAAATATATTGTGGTCAATTGAAAAACAAAATTTTTTAAAAATATTTTTTTTAAATTCATAGGACAACCAAAAAAAGGAAGGGAAAGAGTGGCAGGGAACGAAGAAAAAAAAATTTTTTTTTCGAATTTTTTTTTGAAATTTTTTTTTTAATTTAAAGGAAAACTATATTTGAAAAAACCAAATAATGAATTTTAATTTATATGTATATTATTTGGGAGAGATTGAGAATTTTTGCAAATTTGCGGACAAATTTTTGCGGACTTTTCTCAAATAATGTTTTAAGCCGTCTTTTTCATATTTGCGGACTTTTTTAAAATCTGCAATATTTTTGCGGATGTCCGCAAATAATTACGAACTCAAAAAAAAGTCCGCAAATATTTGCGGATAGCCAGTAAACCATTACAGACAAATATTTGCGGACTTTATAAAATATCCGCAAATATTGTCCGCAAATTTATTTGCTTTAAAAAGTCCGCAAATTTTTTGCGGACAGAAAATTTAAACGGTCTCAATCTCTCAATAATAAAAGAAACCAGAAAAAAATATAATAAGATTGGAGATGAGGATAGAGAGAAGAAAACAGAAATTTAAAAAAAACGAAAAAAATATATATAAAATTAAACAACAAGAGGACGCTTTCTTTTTAAAAAATTTTTTAATTTATGTTTTAATATTCAAGAATCCGAAAAAAGATATAAATTAAAGAAAAGCCCTCAAAAAAAATTTTTTTTTAATTAATTTTGATTAGTATACTTAATTTTTCCCTTTTGATTTTTCAATAAAGGATCCAAAAAAATTTTCTAAATTCCAAAAATTTAAACCAAGTACCTCATCAAAATTATACAAAAAAAATTTAAAATGCTCATTAAAAAGGAAAAGGATCTTTGGATGGTCTTAAAATTCTTATTAACTTAAACCAGTTTGGGCCTGGTCCATAGAAAAAGTCGGGTAAAGTCGAGTTCTCAAAAGGAGTCAAAAACACGCTACACCCGAAAATCGGGGAGTATCTGTCTATAATCGGTCGTAAACTACCCAAAATTTTCTAGCCCCTATGTTTAAACCCATTATAATAAAATAAAAAATTATACTCTCATTTCCATCCATCGTCCATTTTTCCTCTTATTTCAAAGTGTCAATCAATCAATTTTTTTATTGTGTGGACTTTAATATAGAGAGAAAAATGACACAAAAAAATATATTAATTAGCGCGGCAAGCATCCGCCCTCTTCTCTAATTTTTAAAAAAACTTTTTTCTTTCAATTTTTATATCTTCTCCTCCTCATTTTGTAGTCATCATTGTAACGAATTCTTTAAAAAAAAATTTTTTTAAATCCTTTCCCTTCAAAAAATTTTCAAAAAAAAAACCTTCATAATTAACTTGTCCATCCCCATCAATATCTGCTTCCCTAATCATTTCATCCACTTCTTCATCAGTCAATTTCTCACCCAAATTGGTCATAACGTGGCGAAGTTCTGCAGCGGAAATAAAACCGTTGCCGTCTTTATCGAAGACCTTTTTTAAAAAGAAAAATTTTATTTTGATGAAGACTAACGACCTTTGGGAAGAAAATCCTCCTCAATAAACAAGTAGTAACTAGAGAGCGGCCTGGGTCCGGACCATGGCTTGGGTTTTTCCTGTATCCAGAGTTTCCCTGTATCCCAGGCATAATTTGACCTTCCTGGGTTTTTCCCTAACTATTTTTTTCCCTAACCAGGATCCAAACCAAGTCAATAAATCAAACCCGACACCCAGCAACAGGCCCAGGCTTTTCAAAAATTCCGATCTCTAGTGGTCAATAGAACATACAAAAACCCAAAATATAAAATGAGACCCGTTCGCCTAAACCAGTGTTAGTCGATCTAATAAGGACAAAACTCCTACCTCCCGGGAGGAAAATCCCAAAAAATAAGAACTAAAGAGGAGAGAGATGTAAACAAAGAACTCAAAAAATGGAATCCGCTCGACTTAATCTTGTTCGTCTCTCCCGTCAGTACAAATTATTATTGGAAACACCTACAAAGTTGACCCCTCTGTGACTTAAATAATCCAATTAAAAAGTTTGAAAAAATACTCTGAAAGCCTCTCGAATTTCTTCTTCGCTATCTGTGTCCTTCATCTTACGCGCCATCATTGTAAGGAATTCAGGAAAGTCAATTGTTCCGTTACCTGAAAATAATTTTTTAAAATTACTTCAAAAAAATAAAAAAAAATCAAACCATCAGCATCCACTTCATTAATCATATCTTGCAATTCGGCTTCTGTCGGATTTTGTCCAAGAGAGCGCATAACTGTCCCCAACTCTTTTGTGGTGATAGTACCATCGCCGTCCTTGTCGAATAATGAGAAAGCCTCCTTGAATTCTGTAAAAAAAAATAAATTGATTAGAAACAAAAATTTTTCTCCTCAACGTTTTTAATGTAAAAATAGTGTTGAAAAGTGGCCCCCTACAAACTTACAAGTCTTAACTCTACCCTCTTAAGGGAAAGAAAAGGTGCTAGATACCTAAACAGGACTATTACCCTTACAAAATATCGAATAATATATAAATTTATATGTCAAGCAAAAAAGCTCAAAATGGTCAGGGTTCCGTAAAAAAGGGTGGCATCATCCGAAACATTACCAAAACAGCTTTTTTTATAGATTTTCCCCTAAAAACCAAACATTTTATTATTTTTTAAACCCCCTTTCTAAATTTCAACTTCAAAAACCTCATTTTTAACAAATTGGTATTGATTAACCTCCCAAATTTACTTCCCCTTTTAAATACCATGTGGTAAGAGTCATTTGTCGAAGCGTCTTTTCCCCTTTAGCCTTTTTTGATTTATTTTAAGTTCCAAAAGAAGAAAATTTTAAAATTAAAGGTTTAAAAAAGGGAAGCTTAATTTCTGAAAAAGATGCCCGAAAAAGACCCTCGTACCAATCAAAGGACAAAATTACTCGGCCAGTTCGAACCTGGTCCCCAGAAAAAGTATGGTCAAGTCGAGTCTTCAAAGATTTCTTCCGGACAGATTTAGGGTCAAAAAGTCGTATAACTTGACCACTCCCCAGTTATGAACCCTCAAAGGATGAACGAGATAATTTAAAAAAACATGCCTAAACCCAGCAGCTTATCCCCTCCATATAAAAAAAATTTCAAAAAAATACCAGCAATTTGTTCTTCAGTCAATTGATCAGCCATTTTTTTAAAAAGTTTGTTGTTTTTCAATAAAAATAAGCCTTTGAGAATTAAAAACTTTTTGTTGTCTCTAAAATTGGTTGAGAGAGAATATAGAGAGTTTTCTAGTCAATATTCTCTTTTCTTCTCTTTGTCAGAAAATGTGTCAGCAAGCCTTGCGAGAATAAAAAAAAGGAAGAAGGGGAAATGTGTGTGTATGTCTATTTAGTTGTGTTGTTTAAAAACGCTTTTTGGAAGCGAAAAAAGGAGAATGAATGGAAGACGAGAGAAAATAAATTATTTATTTATATCAATCAGTTAACTGATTTTGTTGATGTAGTTTAGGTAGAAGAACACACCAAAAATTGATTTGTGTGTGTTGTCAGTCAAAATTAAATTTAAAATAAACTTGACGCGTTTCGATTTTTTTCTGTTACCGGATTTGTCAATTTATAGAGCTGAAATTAAAATTTGAAATCAAATTAGTTTAAAAAAGGACAAAAAAACTAAGAAAAGAAATCACAAAATTGATAATCAATCATTTAGAAATTAAAAAAAGAACTTAATTAAATGAAGAAAATAGAGAAATAAAAATGATAAGAGACTACTAAAAAACAAGAGACAATTTTAAAATTAGAGAAATAAACAAGTTTTTAAAGGCTCTCCCATATTTTACCAAAACCACATTTTGCCAATTAGGCTAAAAATTTACATTTTGTCAACACACCTTGTTGACAAAACATAAATTTTTATCCTTATTGGCATTATGTCATGTTGGTAAAATGTGAAATCATTTTTAAAATATATAGAATGCCAAAAAATAAAAAAAGTAAGTATATTTGAATTAAAAATGGGTAAAAATGTCCTTTTAAACAAAAAAAACAAAAAACAATTTCACCAATCTAAAAAATTTTAAATTAAAATAAAGGAATGAAACAATAATGGGAATCTTTGTTGGAATTTAATAGAAAAATGAGGTCAAAAAAGAGGAGGAACAACAATTCCTTCGGGAGAAATGAGTATACGATTTTAAATGGGAAATTGGGAATGTGAGTAATCTTATTAGGAAAATTTTTTGAGAAAAGGAAGGAAAAAACAAAGAGAAATGTGAATGTTTTGAACGAAAAAAGTAGAGATTAAAAAAATTTTTTTTTAATTAAAAAGTAGGCTAAAAGTTGCTGAAACTGAATTTGCGGACATCAACAGTGTCCGTAAAGTGCAAAAACATTGTCTATATTAGAAACCGAACCGAGATGAGATCTCAAAGGAAAATCACGATTAGATAATATAGACATTTTTCGAGATATCCCATCCAACCCGTGGCACGCCCTGTGGCAGCTAAAATTTAAAAGATGCCTCTTAAACTGATGTGAGGTATAGCGAAGTTTATGGGAGTATATTAGTGAGGTTTTTCAGTTAAAGCGGTGACATGGTACTTTTCCGTTATGCCATACCCCCCTTAAATTAATGCTCAAAATGTCATATATAGGGTAAAAAAGGTGCTGAGATGAACAGTACCACTCTTTCCTGCCGAAGATGCTTGAAGTACGTTAATATATAAATTAGGCACCCACAACCATATAATGATAAAATTCGTTCAAATTTAAATAACCTAAGGTTTCCTGTCCGCAAATGAAAAACACCCCCCAAACTAAACACCTTCCTTTACATATTTATTCTATGTATTTTTAGAACACCCAAAAAACAAAGACACATTTTATTTTCCAAGTCTGTCTACTTACCTAAATAAATCTCCCCCATCCCACACTTCCCCCAATTATCATTTTATTGTTGTTTTTATTCGATAAAATGCATCATTTTCCCTCAAAAACAATTATATTTAATGCTTACGTATTTTTTAACGTCATTTCGAAAATATTTTTTTTTGCAAAATCTTTTAAAATACGAATCCGTAAAAAAAAAATCCGCAAATTTAATCCGCAAAATTTTTTTTCAATTTCTATATACTCTAAGAATTTTTTGGAAGCAATTTTTATAACTCCCTAAAAAACGTCTTCTCCTTCTATCAAGGATGTCAAGGGTTATCCGTGTATCTGATACTCGATCCGAATTTATATCAGACTTTTTTCTCTGCACGTAATATCCCGTTACTTTTTACCTCAATAGAGATCTGAAGTCGGTCAAAAATGACGGAGGTGCCGGAAATCGGAACTGTCGGAAATTGGTTCTCTTAAAGTTAAGTTGGAAATTGGGTGGCCAAACATTATCGCAGCGATAGTAAGAGGCCCCCGAATTTAATTAAAAATGCATGGCGTAAAATTATGAAAAAATTTTAAAAAAGAGACAAAAAGAGAAGTAAATGGACTTAGAAAAAAGTAGGCTAAACTTTAAGCATTTTAAGTAGAGAATGCTTAAAGTTAAGTAGAGACTAAGGTTCGACCTTTCGAAGCGGGGCTGATATTACGGGGAACGGTAAATTCGAGACGGGGAACATTGGCTTTGGGTGGAGACCTCCCCCCGTTCCCCGGGGAATTCACTCCGGGGGTCGAACCGTAGTAGAGACCGAACTGGAAGAGTCGTACGAGAAGCAAAATTAATATCTTGAAAAATATCGATTCTTGATAATCGAGATTTTTGTTCGATCGAGATCTCATCAAGTCCGGTCTTTTAAGTTTCTGAAACATAAAGACCCTTTCCCTAATCCTAAAATAGACTCATTTAAATATCAATCCCCCCAAAACTAACACTCAATAATCAACTCGTGAGCATTTTTTGTATTTACATAAACATTTTTCAATTGATGTTTACATACATTTTTGGGGTTGAAAAATAGGCAAAAAAAATATATATAAATATTAGATATACAAGAATGAAAGCATGGAAAGCTGCCTTTTTTCTCTTCAAAAAAATGGCGGCTGACTGTTTTTGGCTTGCCTTGTTTGTGTGCTTGTTGGCAATCCGATATAGCTTTAGAAACGAGAAGAGTGAGAGGTTAGTAGTCCTCTAGCCCCTCCACAGACCCCTCTACAGAGGTTAGCCTCCACAGACTCCTCTAGTAGCTCCACAGACCCTCTCCCTCCACAGACTCTCCTCCACAGACTCTCTCTTCTCCCTCTCTTAAAAACCTTCTTTTTTTGCCCCTACTAAGGATAAAAAAAATTTTTTTCGAAATAAAGGTAGAGAAAATGCGCGCAAAAATTATATAGCTGTGGGAAAGCCTACGACTATAAAAGGCTTAAATTTAAGGCAAAAAAAGCTTTCCAATGGATATCTACATACTTTTAAGGCAAAACGCTCGCGTATACTATAGTCAGCTTATATTGACTGTCTCTAGCTTAAAGTGTAGGGAACGAGGAAAGAAGAGATAAAATACTCTAAGGCTTTTAAAGGACTTAGGCCATCAAAAAAAAATTTTTTTCCAAAGTTTAATACATCCCTTGTTTGTCTATCTGTCGTAGTTTAGACAGAAAAAAGGACATTTCACCTAAAGTACAATTTGCCAGGAAGACAGAAATATTTAATTTCGTCACAATTTAAAATTCTTGGACTGAAAATTTTTTTCTAATTTTTAAAAATTTTTAAAAATTTTCAAAAATATTTTCAGACAAGGACAAGACATTTATCCTTATCTATATCTAGAGGAAGAAAAAATCCTTTTCTCAAATAAAAATACAATTTTTACAAGGCTTCTTCTTCATTGACGCTCTATCCTTTAATAAATACATTCTCTCTCAAAGCAATGATGCCCTCAAAAGATAATCTTTTTTTTTTAATTTTTAAGAAGGAAAAAAGTGCCTATATTTCTCTAATTTTTAATTTTCATCCAAAAAATTCTGAGAAAAAATAAAAATTAAAAAAAAAGCGATTTTTGCCCTCTTAACAGCAACGAAAAATCAAAAAAATATTTTCCCCCAATTTCCCCCAATTTTTATTTTCACCCGCCACAATTTTTTCTCTTCTCATAAATGCGCGAACCTCTCCCCTTTAATTCTCACCTCTCCCCTTTACTTCCCACCTTCCCCCCAAAAACCCATTAAAAATATATCATTTCTCGTCAATTACAGTTTAAAGGACATAAAAAATATTTTTATTTTATTTTAATCTCCCATATACTTGCGCAATAAACATTATAAAATTGAGAAAAAAATTAATGGGAAAAATATATTTAATAATTATTGCTAATTTATATTTTATTTATACAAGGAAAAGCATTTTTAAACAAAAAATAAATTAAAGTTGGTCTGTGGTGTAGTTGGAAACGTTTAGGTTTTGGGTGGGTAAGGGATGAAGGTTCGAATCCGGTTGGTGGAAAATAATTTTTAAATTTTCCGGAAATAATGTTAAAGCATTTTTAAACAAATCAGACGTTCCGGTTGATTGTTGGTGTAGTCGGAAACGTCTAGGTTTTGGTGGGTAAGGGTGTTTAGAGGGCGTGGGTTCGACTCCGGTCGGTGGCAAATAATTTTAATTTTTTTCTAAAATATGTAAAGAATGAAAAAAATAATTTTGGGATTAAAAATAAACAAAAATAAATTTTTAAGAGCGAAAAGAGAGAATTTAAAGAAAAATAAAAAAATAATTATTGAACAATTCATAAGATCGAGAGAGACATATCAATCAATAACTAATCAAACAAGAAAAAAAATAAAACCGAAAAAAAAATTTAAAAAAAAAAAAAAGAGAAACGAGTCTATCTATCAAAAATTATTTTTCATTTTAAAAGATTTTTAAAAATAATGAACAGAAAAAAAACAGATTTTTGTATCCAAAATCATTAATTAATTAAACACTAAAAAAAGTCACGCAGTCTCTTAAAAGAAAAATAAATAATTAAAAATAAACAGCCAGTCGACTATTTTATTTTTCAATAATTAAAAGAATAAAAAGATACGTATAAAATAAAATAATAATTTTATTCAACCAACCTATTTTCTCAAAAAAAAAAATTTTTTTTAATATTAAAAAGAAAAATATATAAAGGAGAAAAGAAAAGTCAGCCGATGGCTTTTGACAATTTTTAAAAGTAAAATGGAAAAAAATAAAAATTTTATTGAGGAAAAGGTTAGTGGAGAGAGACAGCTAATAAGTAGAGAGAAAAGAAAAAGACAAGGAAAAGCTTTGAGAGAGACAAGGAAAGCTGTCATCTGTCACAAAAGTGCGCAAACTAGCAAAAGAGAGATTGTGTGTGTGTGTAATGATTGATTGTTTGAAGTGCCAGATGGTAAAAGAACGAGAATATATAAGAGTAACAAAATGTTAGTTAAAGGATGGCTAGTAAATAGGGGAGGTTTCGAAATATTAAATGACAGCCGGTAGGACAAAATGCCCATGAAGTAAAAAGTGACAAAATGCCCATGAAGTAAAAAGGGGCAAAATGAAAGGGGACAAAATGCCAATCACGCAAAAGATTACATAATGGTAAAAAAGAAAAAGGGGAAAATGAGCAAGTATGGGACAAAATGCCAATAAAATAAAATTGGACAAAATAGTAAAAAAGAAAAATGGACAAAATGCCCATGAATTAAAAGAGAATAAAATGGCAATGAAGGGAAAAGCGGCCAAAATGGAAAGAAAATTAAACAGAAAAAGGCAGCAAAAAATCTGTCAATTTGTCTTTTGCATTTTGTCCTTATACTTTGACAGCCTCTGACCAAGACAACCAAACAAAAGAAAAAGCGGCTTAACAAACACACACACACAAGCTGGCTAATCAATATAAAAAAAGCTGTTTAAAGGCTTCCCCCTTTTTCTAAAAATATTTTTTTAATATCCCGTGTAGTATCTATCTATTTTAGTTGATTTACTATTTATTTAAAAAATTTGTCAAAATTCATTTTAAAAATGTTTAAAAGGCCACTGGATCGGTAAGGGAGAGAGGGGCTAAGCGATACCGTATCTACCCATCTAGCAACAGGTTGAAAAAATTAATTATCTAGGGTAATTAACCAAGAAAATATCCCCAATTTAAGGAACCTCCATTATTAGGGGAAAGAAACGTTCAAGTTATGAGCGGTTAAGGGTCGCGGGTTCGAATCCGGTTGGTGGTAAACAATTTTTAATTTTTATCCAGTCACTATTTTAGTTAACGTTTTATTAGGGGAAAGGACTTTGGATAACTTTGAACAATTTCTAGCATCTACAAAAAATTGAGGTCCGACCATAAAAATATTTTTTAAAAAATAAAAATGAGAAAATTAATTTTATATACTACTCAATTTCTGAATATTTTTTCAATACCTTTTTTTAATATTCAGTTTTCTTTATTATCCCCACAAAGTCTTTTCCCTCCCAAAAAAAATTATATTTTTTTTTCTTTAATTTTCTCATTTTCTTTTAATGTCTTCTCTAGGGAAATGAACACACACCGGGAATGGAAAGGAAGGAAAATAATAAGAGTTTTCTGGAAAATTAGAATTTTTTTTTGGACATTTTTCTAGTTAAAAAGGCAGAAAAGTTTAAAAAAGAAAAAAAAATTAAAAATTTTTAAAAGAAAAAGAAAAATGTGTGTGTGAACAAAAAAGAACGGAAATTAAAGAAAATTGGGGAATATTTAAAAAAAATTAGGAGGGGAAATGCTCTCTAGATATTGAAAAAATTGATTATTAGGAAATTAAATTTTATAAAAAAAACTCTAAAAATAGAAAAAATTATTAAAGAAAAAATTTTTCAAAAAAATTAAAAGTGGCGCCAAAAATTAAGTTTCTTGGTGTTCAGTCTTAAATAATAAGGCCTCCCAATTATAAGTCGCTTTCATTATGCGTCTACTCTATTGGGTCCCGAGGAGTGTACTTTTAGCCTGATTCGACGCCCGAACCATATTTATTTGGGTACTATGCGTTTATATACCCACACGTCCGCAAATGTTTGTCCGCACTTTTTTCCTTTTCCTTCTCCTTTCTCCTCTCACAAGAATCAGAAATGGTCAGGTATTAATAAACCCCCATTTTCTTTGTATTCTCCTTCTTTTCTTCTCTCATTTAGATTAAAATGGTTAAGTAGAAATAGAAAGAACTTGGCACTCTTCACTTTATATGACCTTTTTTCTCCGTGGTCGAAACAGAACAAGTATGGCGTCAATCGAAAGAGCTCGGTCAGCTTAGTCAAATTAGTGGCGATCGAAGTTGGTCAGGTACTAAGTGAACGAGATATAAGGCTCAAACGGTCAAAAATCATAGGGATAGTAAGCTCAGTTTGCGGTGAAAAATGCAAATGATAGCTCATTTGATTGAACTCATTGAGTTGAGTCGAATAACACTAAAATCAGCTTATCCTCTAATTTTTACTTGACTATTTTGATCTGGGTGAATGAGAGGAGAAAAGGAGAATACAAAGAAAATGGGGGTTTGTTAATAACTGACCATTTCTAATTCTTGTGAGAGGAGAAAGGAGAAGGAAGAGGAAAAAAGTGCGGACAAACATTTGCGGACGTGTGGGTATATTTATTTATTTATTTATTTATTTATAACATAAAAAAAAAAATGTCATCGAAAGGGCGTGCCACTTACTCCGACAACAATGTCGTAGTGTGGCACTTAAAAGATGCAATAAAAATATATAAAAAAAAAAAAAAAAAAAACAGCAAAAAACAATGTCAATAATAATTAAGGAAAAAACACATATTAATTTATATTTAATTGATTTATTTGTTAAATAAATATACTCCGTACCGACTATTTTACTTATTTAAGGTGCTTTAATAGAAAACAAATCAAAAATCTAAAAAAAGGTTCATTAATTTAATTTCTGTTTAAATTTTGTCAAAATTTAAAGAATTAATTTCTTCAACAATTTTGCTGCGTTTTTCGTTGTTTGTCATATTTGCTGCAAAATTTAAAGGAGAAAATTCTGAAGAATTGCGCTTAGACATGCCACAAAAAATATTACCCAATTAAATGCCTTTTTTAAAATTTCCTTAAAAAATATTGTTTAAAAAATAAAATTAATATAAAAAAATGATAAAGTTCAATAAAAAAATTAAGAAAAGGGGAAGAAAAAAAAATTCTAATTTTATGAATCATCAAAAGAGAAATAGCACGGATGACAGAGAAAAAAAGATTGTCATTTAAATAAAAATATTTTTTAGATAGAATGCCAAATTAATATATTAGATTACCAATTTAAATATTTTTTTCAAAGATTTTTAGAATTTGGAAATATTTTTAGGATTTGAATTTATTATTAGGATTTAAAAATATTTTCTCTATCGCCTGCGATTAACCTTGTTGTTCTATAATATTTTTATTTTTATTTAAAGCAGTTATTCTCTCATAAATAAGCCAAATTTTATATTCGAAATTTAATTATAAAGATATGAGGGAGGATTGGCAAAAATGAAGTTTTGAATTTTTTAGATATAATGTTAAATAATAATTCATTATCAATTTGAAAATTTTTCTTGGGAGTAAAAGAAAAATAAAGAAAAAATATTCTATATTTAGAGCAATAGGCTTTAAAAAACAAATTTATAATTTAAGGGAATTTAAAGAATTGATTTTATTTTTCATATAATAGCAATAAAAACAGATTAGATTAGATCTATTGAATAAGTATTGCTTTTACTTTATTTTTAAAACTAGGGGTTATTTTTGTAGTCCTAATTTCGTCATTTAAAACGTTCCACATCTTAGTTACCCTATTAACAAATGAGTTAGATGATTTTGAATTTTGACTTTTAGATAATATATAACATTTTTTTCTATTTGATATCTTAAAAAGATTGTCTGGTTCAAGATGTGTATATCCATGTAAGATTTTATGAGCCAATACTAAATCATAAGTCTTACGACGGTTTTCAAGAGTAGGAAGATTAAGGAACTCTAATCTTTGTAAGTATGGTATATAAGGTAATGAACATTTTCGAAGTAGGATTTTTGTAAAGAATTTTTGGCATTTTTCGAGTTTGTTAATTTCAGATTTTAGTTGTGGATTCCATGTTTCAGGAGAGTATTCTAGTAAGGGTCTTATATAACTTTTATAGATAGTAAGCCAAGTTTTTATAGATTTAGACTTAATTATTTTGAAAACGAAATTCATTTTTATATAAGCTGCCCTAATAATTTTTTGTACATGTTCTTGAAATCTAAGTTTATTATCAATTATAATGCCTAGATCTCGTATAGAATCTACTTCGTTTATAGTTGCATCAAAAATTTTATATTGATCTTTAGGGTTATTTTTACCAAGATAGATTATATATGTTTTATTAATAGCTATATTTAATTTCCATATGGTTGACCATTGTTCAATATTTTTGATAGCATTTGTAAGCATTATTCTTTCATTTTTTGTTTTGTGTACAACATATACTTTAACATCGTCAGCAAAAAGTTTTATTTTTATACCATTTGGGATTATATCAGGTAAATCATTTATATAGATTAGAAATAATAGTGGGCCTAAAACTGATCCTTGTGGTACACCTGATTTAATATATCTGGGTTTGGATAATTCATTGTTTATTTTAACTCTGAAAATTCTATTAGAAAGAAATGATGAAATCCAATTTAAAATTTTTCCTCTTATACCTATTCTATATAATTTGTTGATTAAGAGATCATGTGGTACTGAGTCAAATGCTTTTTTGAAGTCAATATATATACAGTCAATATTCTTTTTTCCCATTATTGCATCGTACCAATCTTCTAATGTAGTGATTAGTTGTGTTGTAGTAGATCTATTTTTTATAAATCCATATTGGTCTTTGCTAAATAGATTGTTATCTAACAGAAATTGAACAATGTATTTATTAAGAACCATTTCCATGACCCTGCATATGGCACATGTTAATGCAATAGGCCTGTAATTTTCGGGATTTGATTTTTCTCCTTTTTTGAATAACGGTATTATTATAGATTCCTTCCATATATCAGGTAATATACCTGAATCTAGTGATATTCTAAATATTTCCGATAGAAAAGGAGCTATAGAGGGAAGTACAATCTTTAATATTTTATAATTTATATTATCAGGTGAAGTACCATTTCTGTTAGGTAATTTTTTAATGAAGCTGATAATATCAATTATATCAAAATCAACATCTTCGATGATAGGTATTTGATTATTTTCATTGTTATTATGGCTATATTGTATATTAGTATTGGAGAAATTTTCAAGAAAGATATCAGCAAAAATTTCAGACTTATCTATTGATTTAGTAATATAACTATTGTTATAATAAAGCACTGGAATTTCATTATTCGTATATTTAAATTTTTTAAGGTATTTATGAATAGAATCTCTATTTTTAGTGATAAAAGCATTTTGTTTTTTATTATGAAAGTTTCTAGTCTGAATTTTTATATGCAATGATATACTATCATATAATTCTTTATATTTTAGTTTATCAGTTTTAAGTTGTCTATAAATTTCGGCTTTCTTTTTAATAGATGCTTTCAAGTGAGCAGGGTAATTATGTCTAAGATCTTTTTTAGTTACAAGTTTTTCAGGTACATATAAGTTAAGAGATGCTAAGATGTTGTCTATGAAATGATTATATTTATCTTCCAAATAATAATTTTGAGTGGATATAATCGGTATAATAGAAGATAGAAATCTATTTAATAAAGATGTATTAGCCTTATTATATTTTCTATATTTAATTGGTTTGACTTCTTTTTTGATTATAGGGAATGATAAATCAAAGATTAAAGCATCATGATCTGAATTAAACAAGGACCCATCAACATAAATATTTTGAAATAGATCAGGTTTATTTGTTAAACAAACATCTAGATAAGCATCGTTTCGAGTAGGACCAGGTGTAGTAGAAGATAAATTCATAGAGTTGAAAAAACTGAGAAATAGATCACCTAAGCTATTTTTACAATATGGAATATTATTAACCCAGTTAAGATCCTTGGTTCCAAAATTGAGGTCTCCTAATATGATACAGTTAAAAGAAACAAAAGATTCAATCAGTTTAAGAAGTTTTTTAGTTTGAATGATACTAGTATTTGGAGGTCTATAGATAAGAATAAAATTAATACATTTTGAATTTTGTATTTGTAGATGTATTATTTCTGAGTTGAACTTAGAGATGGATTGTTTAACGAAAAACTTAATATGCTTTTTAATCAAAACAGCGCAGCCACCTCCCCTACGATTACTTCTATTACATAAAACTATATTGAATTTTTCAAGTATATCTAGGTTAAAAACATCTTGCGTTTCAGTTGTAAGCCAAGTTTCTGTTACAAACAAGATATCTAAATTAAACGCGCTTAAAATACAAGAAATTTCATCGATTTTATTTTTTAGAGATCGAATGTTTATAAGACATCCTTTTATTTTTTTGTTTAAAAATAAATTAGAGTTTTTTTCATGAGAAATAGTCGGCTTTAGAGTATATTTATTTATAGAAGAAGTGAGATGACTTCTTAGTTTTTTGGAAGAGTTTTTTTGAAATTGTCAATCTCACTTCTTAATATTATATTTGAGG